CAGGAGTTACGTTCACTATCGATACTCCAGGAGTTACGTTCACTACCGATACTCCAGGAGTTACGTTCATTATCGATACTCCAGGAGTTACGTTCACTATTGATACTCCAGGAGTTACGTTCACTATCGATACTCCAGGAGTTACGTTCACTATCGATACTCCAGGAGTTACGTTCACTACCGATAATCAAGGGGTTACGTTCACTATCGTATATCTTGTATAGAATATTCGCAAAACATTCAATAAAAAAACACAAACGATTAAAGAGATGGATGTATTTGTTGTGATTCATTGATCAAACAGCGATGTCCTTTTACTATAATTGTTTCCTGTCAGATCAAACTATTCAATGATAATTCCTGACATTTTACTTGAAAATTACATAAAATACCGAGATATCCACTTGAGTTAGGATAGGATGAGAAAAAAGATGTAAATGAAACAGCTGGTGTGATTTGTGGTGGGCTTGATGTCGTACTACATGGACACTTACTTCCTTCATTGTTCTCACTAAAACACTCCCGCACACTCTACTTCTGCCACTTAAACAGTTTCTTCCTCGTTTTTGTCCTATCCTGAATGAAATATTTGTATGTTTCATCATCATCATCATCAATGTTAAAACAGCGTCGTCATTTTTCAACACCTGACATTGACATTGACTATTATCATGCCAAACACACCTAATGATGTCAAACACGCCTGTTGACTAATGATGTCAAACACGCCTGTTGACTAATGATGTCAAACACGCCTGTTGACAAATGATGCCAAACACGCCTGTTGACAAATGATGTCAAACACGCCTGTTGACTAATGATGTCAAACACGCCTGTTGACTAATGATGTCAAACACGCCTGTTGACAAATGATGTCAAACACAGCTGTTGACAAATGATGCCAAACCCGCCTGTTGACAAATGATGTCAAACACGCCTGTTGACTAATGATGTCAAACACGCCTGTTGACTAATGATGTCAAACACGCCTGTTGACAAATGATGTCAAACACCCGCCTGTTGACAAATGATGTCAAACACGCCTGTTGACTAATGATGTCAAACACGCCTGTTGACAAATGATGTCAAACACAGCTGTTGACTAATGATGTCAAACACGCCTGTTGACTAATGATGTCAAACACGCCTGTTGACAAATGATGTCAAACACGCCTGTTGACTAATGATGTCAAACACGCCTGTTGACTAATGATGTCAAACACGCCTGTTGACAAATGATGTCAAACACGCCTGTTGACAAATGATGTCAAACACACCTGTTGACAAATGATGCCAAACCCGCCTGTTGACAAATGATGTCAAACACGCCTGTTGACTAATGATGTCAAACACGCCTGTTGACAAATGATGTCAAACACGCCTGTTGACAAATGATGTCAAACACGCCTGTTAACTAATGATGTCAAACACGCCTGTTGACAAATGATGTCAAACACGCCTGTTGACTAATGATGTCAAACACGCCTGTTGACAAATGATGTCAAACACACCTGTTGACAAATGATGCCAAACCCGCCTGTTGACAAATGATGTCAAACACGCCTGTTGACTAATGATGTCAAACACGCCTGTTGACTAATGATGCCAAACACACCTAATGATGTCAAACACGCCTGTTGACAAATGGTGCCAAACACACCTGTGCACAAATGGTGCCAAACACACCTGTTGACAAATGATGCCAAACACACCTGTTGACTAATGATGCCAAACACACCTAATGATGTCAAACACGTCTGTTGACAAATGGTGCCAAACACACCTGTTGACAAATGGTGCCAAACACACCTGTTGACAAATGATGTCAAACACACGCGTTGACTAATGATACCAAACACACCTGTTGACTAATGATGCTAAACACACCTGTTAACTAATTATGCTAAACACGCCTGTTGACTAAAGATGTTAAACACACCTGTTGACTTAAGATGCCAAACACACCTGTTGACTAAAGATGCCAAACACACCTTTTGACTAATGATGTTAAACACACCTGTTGACTAAAGATGCCAAACACACCTGTTGACTAAAGATGCCAAACACACCTTTTGACTAATGTGTCTTCAGTAACACTAAAGGAAGTTGGTATATATGAGCCCAAACACTTTTTATCTTCATGACAAAAAGATTAAATATACAGCGCGATCGGTCCAACCTGCCGATAGCCTCTTTGTATATTAAAACGGTTCCTCCCCCCCCCCAATCGGCCCCCCTCCCCCACCTCCTTGATTGATTGTAGCAATTTACTGTATCATACCAGTTCCAAAACCAACACCATGTAAACAGCCTTCCAACTATACTCCAAGAAATAAGACGCTCTGTAAGTCGTATACAAAACTCGGTCTTACTGCGTAAAATGGTTTGATTAACACGTTAAAATGTTTTTGATAAATCGATATTCATATTTTATGTTTTCAAACACTTCCTTGTTTATTGATTATTGATAGCGTTAAAAAGATAATGTCACAACAATTCATTGAGATGTTATTTCCCTGTCTCTATCACTAAATACTCTATCATGAGAGTTACAAACATCCGCCCCTCCTCCCATCAGTTGATAAAACACGTGTAGCGGTGCTGATCATTCAATGAAACACAATAATATCTCCTCAATCGCCATTCCTCTCCGGAATATGATATTGCGTGAATTGTTAAGGATCCATACACCGAAATTGGACGAGTATTGTTCAGGAATTATTAATGAAATACGGCGAGTGGGCGAGTATTGTAGAGGTACGATTCCTGGAATACGATAAGTGGGCAAATATTGTAAAGGTACGATTCAGGGAAAACGGTTAGTGGGCGAGTATTTTAGAGGTACGATTCAGGGAAAACGGTTAGTGGGCGAGTATTGTAGAGGTGCGATTCAGGGAATACGGTTAGTGGGCAAGTATTGTAGAGGTGCGATTCAGGGAATACGGTTAGTGGGCGAGTATTGTGGAGGAACGATTCAGGGAATACGGTTAGTGGGCGAGTATTGTGGAGGAACGATTCGGGGAATACGGTTAGTGGGCGAGTATTGTAAAGGTACGATTCAGGGAATACGGTTAGTGGGCGAGTATTGTAAAGGTACGATTCAGGGAATACGGTTAGTAGGCGAGTATTGTGGAGGAACGATTCGGGGAATACGATTACAATTAGTGGGCAAGTATTGTAGAGGTGCGATTCAGGGAATACGGTTAGTGGGCGAGTATTGTAGAGGTGCGATTCAGGGAATACGGTTAGTGGGCGAGTATTATAGAGGTACGATTCAGGGAATACGGTTAGTGGGCGAGTATTGTGGAGGTACGATTCAGGTCGATTGAAACAATGTGTATCACAGATGATCGATTGAAGCAATGAACAATTACGTGCATATAATTTTGATTACTTCCGGACAAAAATAGTTTTTTGAACTAGAAAAAGTTAAAATGATGTTTTTAATATGGGTGATTGTAATCTTGATTACGTTGACACAACAGATAGCGTTTCGATTAAGAAAGCTGAATTGATGTGTATGATATGACTTGCTGTCGTAGAATTTCGAGTGTTGTTATGAATACACCCAGTGATTCATTTGTATACATAACGGTGCTGTGTATCGGAAGCAAGCTTACTCATGTAATCTCTGTACCGGCGGGGAAGAGGTGAAACAATCATTGGCGATGTCGTGTATATCTACAACTCATAACTTTACTATAATAAACCTATGAAAATTCATCGTACGACAGATTTTAGGAATTTGAACTTTAAATTTTTTTCTGACGAACTAGTCTCCTTGGCGAATTAGCTCATTGTTATGTATAGGTAAAATGTGTAATTTCAGTCAGAAATGAATGCGTTTTGAAATTCTAAATGTCGTTTTGAACAAGTTTAACGACTTGCGACTCTGCGCACGATTTCCATGTTTTCTTGTCTCCTAGTTGACTGGTATAAATGTAGTTGTAAAAGCCACATGTGTAGTATTAGTAAGCCATCACACTTCTCTGTTTTAGATAGTACAATGCTCGACTTTACATTGGGTTGATAGAAGGGATTATCAACACAATAAAATAAGATATTAAACAAGGCGAAAGTAATTACTGATAAATCCTTGTAACAGAACTTGGACGGTTGTGTAATTGTACTTTTGTGACCATCCTGGAAAGTATTTTGTGAAAAGTATGTCTAAAGCCAAAATGAAATGATTGAATTTCTCGATGACGATGTAATCGTTGTGTTTTGTGGTAAGATCTCCTAACAGATTATTTACAATTCCAATCGTAGTTAAAAACAATGTTTCTATTTTGAATTTGCCATTTCTATAAGTAACAACAGTGTTTGTCCAGTCCACGGTGTTTTCTTGTCGCCGTTGCTTCTACATTCTAGAGGCTTTTCTTGTGTAATGTAATGTGAATTATGCTCGTTGTTCGTTCACATACCTGGTTAATTCGTGAACGTGACATCCTTTAGCAACTTGGAATATTCTTTATGCGAGATGTCGCTCACTCTTTTAGAACATGCAAAGGTGTTCCTGGCAATAGTTTCATCTATACTGGGTGTTTATTCTCTCATTTTTAGCTTACCTGTCCGAAGGGCCAAGTGAGCGGTGTCCGGCATCTGTCAACTTTTACTAGTCATGAACGACTGAGCGGATTTTAAACAAATTTGGGGAAAGTAAAATCAGATTAATGTAAATGGTAGGCAGGGCCCAACAAGAAAAAAGTTAACCACCAGATACATTTAGCTCATGTTCACAGCATTGCTTTGCACCATCAACAATCCATCTGGACCTTTGAAACAGTTGCCATCCCCACTGAATGAATATAGCATTGCCATGCCTGACAAACGGAATTTGAAGCTGTATCTGTGGAGTGAAGATCATCAGGGAAATATTTTCCTACTAAAGAATTTAAAGTTTTGCATTATTGACTTAAATATCTAGGTGAGCGATACAGACCTTTTGGGTCTCTTGTTCAATGCAAGCATTGGAAAATAAAATTTGTTTTCTTTTTCAGCTGGGCGATCGACCTCATTTGAAGTCCCTGTTGAGATGCAATTCAACGGGTGCAAATACAGCATCGGTCTAACGGACACCATCGGATCAGTAAGTATCGTTGAGACACCTGTAAGTACCGGAGGCATATCAGTAAATACATTTCCGTGAGACATCAGTAAGTATCGTTGAGACACCTGTAAGTTCCGGAGGTATATCAGTAAATACATTTCCGTGAGACATCAGTAAGTATCGTTGAGACACCTGTAAGTTCCGGAGGTATATCAGTAAATACATTTCCGTGAGACATCAGTAAGTATCGTTGAGACACCTGTAAGTTCCGGAGGTATATCAGTAAATACATTTCTGTGAGACATCAGTAAGTATCGTTGAGACAGCTGTAAGTTCCGGAGGTATATCAGTAGATAAATTTCTGTGAGACATCAGTAAGTATCGTCGATTTATCAATAAGTAACGTTGAGCTATCAGTAATAAAATTTCCGTGAGACATCAGTAAGTATCGTTGAGACACCTGTAATTTCCGGAGGTATATCAGTAGATAAGTTTCTGTGAGACATCAGTAACTTTCGTTGAGACACCTGTAAGTACCGGAGGTATATCAGTAAATACATTCCCGGGAGACATCAGTAAGTATCGTTGAGACACCTGTAAGTAACGTTGAGTTATCAGTATATATTGGTAAGTATGCACTAAATGCAGCTCTCACATACGTTTGTGTTGCGAGAAAATGACGTTCAGTTACCCAATTAATTGGAGTCGTCCATTTTTGACACAACGCACACAGTATAGCTAATGGTTTGTTCTTTTCGAAGGATGAGTACCGGCGGATCCGTGAGCTGTTTACCGTGGGAACAGACATATTCCTAGTGTGTTTTAGTGTGACGGAACCAGACACGCTGAACAATGTCAAACAAAACTGGCTATCGGAAATCAAAATCCTTGCCCCAAAGGCCACCTTCGTATTAGTCGGTACAAAAACAGACCTTCGAGAGGACGAAAATGTGAAGCAAAAATTAAAGGAAAAAGACCAAAAAGTAATATCTATTCAAGAAGGAATCAAATGTGCAAAAACCTTCGGAGCAAAAACCTACGTGGAATGTTCAGCATTGAACCAAATTGGACTTAAAGAAGTGTTTGAGACCGTTGTGATGGTTACCAGTCCAGAAACCAGCACCCCTCGGAAATCTGGCTCAAATGGTGGACCATGTGTCGTGTCGTAACTATGCCAGAATGGTGGGTCATGTGTCGTGTCGTAACTCTGCTGGAATGGCGATCATGAGGTAAAAATTTGCCTCGGATTTTAGCACAAACTGGTCTGGTGCAAAATAAACATAGTTCTTAAATCAATGCATGGCTTTAAAGGAATTCCATGATCTTCAAGAATATGAGAAACACATTTACAGACCACATACACTGGTGACTTCGGTCATAACGATTTCGTTATGTGGTAGGCCTACTAATGGTCATAATCGCCTAAAAGCGGTTTTTATCGATTAGACATTAAATCCTTACCTATGCATCATACGTATTAGGCGGTCTCGAAACAAAACATGGATTCTAGAGAAGGAACCGAGATGAGATCCTGATGTAACAGATATTTGTGTCAGCAGTTTTATCTATTTATATATTGGTTTTTGATTATGATTGTAACACTTAGTGAATTTCGAAATATTTTAATATTATGTTTTAGTCAGCGGCTGGTCTGCTGACCTCGTAATGTCAATAAATGCCGGACATTCTTCACACTTATTGACCTACCCTATACACATTAACGTGACTAACCGCTGTACTGATGAGAGTAATAGCATTTCTATCAACCACTCCCGTGTGTTCATAATTACGAGTGACAATCTTCGTCATTCTCCATTTGAAATTACATTTTTGACAGACATATAAGTTACTGCAGACATTTCTTGACAGGTCAAAAAAGAAACAGTCCATGTGAAAATAGGTCTTTATAAAACAGCATTCAACTGTTTGACAATCGGTGATGAAATATGTCTGAGGAGTAAGAAAAAAGGGTTTTTACTTTTATCTTTTTACCAATAATCTATGATGGCGAACATGGCGCAATTAGTTGAATTTTCTTTCTACTTTATCCCATAAAAGTATCACCGACTGAATTAGTATCGTACATCAACCAACCTTTACAAGACCATAGGATCCGAGAATTATTTAGTCTAGACGAATATGGACTTACCCTTGCCTATTTATAAAGGATTATTAGGAGAAGTGTAATTTTACCTAATATCGATCCCTCCAAAAACCTGCTAAAACCTTAAAACCAGACAAGGGTAAGTCCTTATCCACTTAGACCTCGAGCACTTTCATCTGGAATGTATACCACCTAAGTAAGCACGGTGAAATGGAATTTCTTGCCATTTCTGATACAAGTGCATACTGTTTAGATTGTGACAAAGTCCCGAGTCCCTGTCTGTTTTACTTTTTTTCCTGGACAATTCATTTCTCCTTGTACACGGAATCCAAAGAGTGTTTCATATACATAAATGATTTACTCTAAGTTTGGTCTGCTCTGATTAAAGACGTTTCAGTAATTTATATCATCCACGACTTATTTTGTATAATAATGTTTAAATAAAATCCAAACAATTGAAGACTTTGTTCTTACTACAAAACATCCGTTTAGAATTCGGTTTGTATGTTCTAGATTACTATTGTCAAACGTCTCGTGCAACGCTGTATTTGTTGGCACTGCGATAAGGGTACGAATCACCACGCTCACATTTGTTTACCTCACGTGGTAGGAATAGTACAGTCGGCAGATAACTGGATATTGCAACGTCTGGTCGAAATCTGCCGTAGCTGGTGCGATCTGTGACCGCTTGTAGTTCTCGGGAAAGATGACAAAACCACCCTTTCTTGTGTTGTTTGGTAAACCTCTTTACCAAAATTGCTTTAAGAAGTAAGCGGCAGGCCTCCGCATGACGTTCAGATAGTCTCTGCAGCTACTACCAGGAAACTCCTCCTCAGAACGCCTTTGGCTTTACAATGGAATATATACCCCCTCCCCATACCTCGAAAGATTGATGGTTCCTTCATTTTAGTAAAAGGAAAAAAACAAAAGATCCTATAGGGATTTTGACGTCCATCAGCGTTTATTATAAATTTGATCTTCTTATTCCATGTTTTTCTCTCTGAAAAACCTGAAAATGAAAGTTGTTAACGGCCAAACCCAAGAGATGTTCTCCTATCCGCCATTTTGTTTTTCTGATCAATTCCAAAATCAATTGGGTACAACTAAGGACCAAGGGAACCTACATATGAAATTTGAGAAAGATCCATCCAGTACTTTTCAAGAAAAAATGATAACCTTTCATTGCAAAATTCCTGGAAGGTTACTGGCCCACCATTTTGTCTTTCCTATCAGAACCAAAATGGAATATGCACAACTACAAACTAAAGTAAAGATTCATCTGAAATTTATGAATAGTCTATCCAACACTTCTACAGAAATAGCAATAACCAACTATAAGTCATAAACCAGCATTTCCAATCAACCCTAAAACGAAATTTGAGAATGATCAATCCAGTGCCTCTTCAGAAATAACAATCACAATCTGTTTCTGTCAAAATCCAAGTTTGTCGCTTGTTGTCTATCTATAATCAAGTGCTTCTTCAAAAATAACAATCTGTTTCTGTCAAAATCCAAGTTTGTCGCTTGTTGTCTATCTATAATCAAGTGCTTCTTCAAAAATAACAATTTGTGACTGTCAAAATCCAAGTTTGTCGCTTGTTGTCTATCTATAATCAAGTGCTTCTTCAAAAATAACAATTTGTGACTGTCAAAATCCAAGTTTGTCGCTTGTTGTCTATCTATAATCAAGTGCTTCTTCAAAAATAACAATTTGTGACTGTCAAAATCCAAGTTTGTCGCTTGTTGTCTTATCTTGTTTTTTAGCCCACCATCTATTCAAATAGATGGTGGGTTATTCAAATCGCCCTGTGTCCGTGGCCCGTGGTCATGCCGTCCGTCCGTCCGTAAACAATTCTTGTTACCGCTATTTCTGGAAAAGTACTGGATGGATCTTTCTCAAATTTCATATGCAGGTTCCCCTTGGTCCCTAGTTGTGCATTGTACCTTTTTTGAACTGATTCGCATTCAAGATGGCCGACAGGTGGCCATCTTGAATTTTGGAAGTAAAAGTTTGTTACCGCTATTTCTGGAAAAAGTCAAATTTCATATGCAGGTTCCCCTTGGTCCCTAGTTGTGCATTGTACCTTTTTTGAACTGATCTTCAAGATGGCCGACAGGTGGCCAAATTTCATATGCAGTTTCTCAAATTTCATATGCAGTTTCCCCTTGGTCCCTAGTTGTGCATTGTACCTTTTTTGGACTGATTCGAATTCAACATGGCTGACAGGTGGCCATCTTGGATTTTGGATGTAAAAGTTTGTTACCGCTATTTCTGAGAAAGTACTGGATGGATCTTTCTCAAATTTCATATGCAGTTTCCCCTTGGTCCCTAGTTGTGCATTGTACCTTTTTTGGACTGATTCGAATTCAACATGGCCGACAGGTGGCCATCTTGGATTTTGGATGTAAAAGTTTGTTACCGCTATTTCTGGAAAAAGTACTGGATGGATCTTTCTCAAATTTCATATGCAGTTTCCCCTTGGTCCCTAGTTGTGCATTGTACCCTTTTTCAAGATGGCCGACAGGCAGCCATCTTGGATTTTGGAAGTAAAAGTTTGTTACTGCTATTTCTTGGAAAGTACATGGCTCAAATTTCATATGCAGACAGGTGGCCATCTTGGATTTTGGATGTAAAAGTTTGTTACTGCTATTTCTTGGAAAGTACTGGATGGATCTTTCTCAAATTTCATATGCAGTTTCCCCTTGGTCCCTAGTTGTGCATTGTACCTTTTTTGGACTGATTCGAATTCAACATGGCCGACAGGTGGCCATCTTGGATTTTGGATGTAAAAGTTTGTTACCGCTATTTCTGGAAAAAGTACTGGATGGATCTTTCTCAAATTTCATATGCAGTTTCCCCTTGGTCCCTAGTTGTGCATTGTACCTTTTTTGGACTGATTCGAATTCAAGATGGCCGACAGGCAGCCATCTTGGATTTTGGAAGTAAAAGTTTGTTACTGCTATTTCTTGGAAAGTACTGGATGGATCTTTCTCAAATTTCATATGCAGTTTCCCCTTAGTCCCTAGTTGTTCATTGTACCTTTTTTGGACTGATTCGAATTCAAGATGGCCGACAGTCAGCCATCTTGGATTTTGGATGTAAAACTTTGTTACTGCTATTTCTTGGAAAGTACTGGATGGATCTTTCTCAAATTTCATATGCAGTTTCCCCTTGGTCCCTAGTTGTGCATTGTACCTTTTTTGGACTGATTCGAATTCAAGATGGCCGACAGTCAGCCATCTTGGATTTTGGAAGTAAAAGTTTGTTACTGCTATTTCTTGGAAAGTACTGGATGGATCTTTCTCAAAATTCCATATGCAGTTTCCCCTTGGTCCCTAGTTGTGCATTGTACCTTTTTGGACTGATTCGAATTCAAGATGGCCGACAGGTGGCCATCTTGGATTTTGGATGTAAAACTTTGTTACCGCTATTTCTTGGAAAGTACTGGATGGATCTTTCTCAAATTTCATATGCAGGTTCCCCTTGGTCCCTAGTTGTGCATTGTACCTTTTTTGACTGATTCGAATTCAAGATGGCAGACAGGTGGCCATCTTGGATTTTGAATGTAAAAGTTTGTTACTGCTATTTCTTGGAAAGTACCGGATGGATCTTTCTCAAATTTCATATGCAGGTTCCCTTTGGTTCCAAGTTGTGCATTACACCTGTTTGGACTGATCCGAAATCAAGATGGCTGACAGGCAGCCATCTTGGATTTTGAGAGTAAAATCTTGTTACTGCTATATCTGAGGAAGTCCAGGATGGATCCTTCTGATATTTCATAGATATTGGTTTCCCTTGGTCCCTAGTTGTGCATTGTACCTTTTTTGGACTGATTTGAAATCAAGGTGGCCCACAGGCAGCCATCTTGGATATCGACAGTAATACAGCACAAGCATATTGTCCATTATCCACCTGTAACTGACGGCTATCTAATAATACTTTGGGATCTTTTTCAAATGATATTTGCTAATAGGTGCTTAATAAAAATATCTTGTGCCATCATTGAGTACATTCAATGAAGACCAGTTCATGAACATTTACAACACCTGTAACAAACAAAAAAAATCTTCAAGAACTGAAAACAGATCCTCAAATGATGGACGCCAAGATCCCTCTGGGATCTCTTGTTTTTATAATCATTTTCAAAATAGACTATGCACATCTATTGACTAAGGTGAACCTACACATGAAGTTTGAGAATGATCCATCCAATGCTTCTCCAGAAATTGTGATAACAAACTACCATAGTCACCAGGAAGGCTGCCTGTCGGCCATCGCCCCTTGTGTGATGTACTTGATTGTACAAGAACCAAAGCAAAGCTACAAAAAATTGAGAATGATACATCCAGTGCTTCATCAGAAATAGTGATAACAAGACCTATTTAAGTGTAAGGACAGCGGACAGACATGGACGAAGGGTGAATGGATTAGCCGATCGTCTATTGAAAAAAAAAAAAAAACCAAATCCACCATTATAGTTTTTGTTTACATTTTATTTTGGTACACATCAGTATAATAAAATTTCAAAAACAAAATAAGTAGAGCTGTTATCATATATCAGCATCACGATGTATCGATGTATCGTGATTACAACAGCAGGACGACAATATTGCGGAAAATTTTCAGATCGGCGATATCGTCGTCGTCAAAAAGTAAGAAGGAACCGTTAAATTTTCAGATGAAAACACATGATTTCCCGACAAATAAAGCACAAAAAGTTGTTGTCGACAGCATTTCATTCAAAGTCGGTAAACATAGTGAAACGCTGTTAGGAAGTATATCAGCTTTTTGAAAATATGTAACAAAACGCGTGCCATGTGTCATTTGATCTCCACACCCTATCAGATTATCAGACTATTCCATCTGCTGATACTGCAGAAAATTTACTCAATTTCTGGTCATGAAATACATCCAACAATTGGAAATATTTTGTTTTTGAGAAGAATGCTGATAGAGGATATAAGGACAAAAAAAATCTGCTGTAGATGTCGTGTTTGTAAAGCTTTGTAAAGCTGTCGTTAAATACAGTGGTAATACGATAAATTAAGACACAGAATTTGTGATAAGTTTTCATTTATTTGCTGATAGAAATAACTAACTTGGAACACAGTATTAACATTCAGATTTTATTTGATAAATATCGTGCTATCAGCAAAAATTGATGATATCGCGATGCAGTTTTCCCCAGCTCTAAAAATAAGTATGATGTCTTTTTAAAAGTAATCATAATTTCATTGATGAACTGATGATTTTCAGCCCAATAATATTTTAGAAAATTTCCCAAGATTTAAAAAATCACATAATTAGTTGCTTATGAATATTCTGTAAAAACGGTTAAGTCATACACACCTTTAACCATATTAAGACATCAAAATACAAGCCATTTATTTATCTATATATCACACAACTATGTACACAAGTCTCCAAAGCATGCTATATACAAAGTAATCAGCTGTACTAGGTCACAAGGTCACGATGGTGATAGGTATGGAGCGATATAAATCATTATATACTGACACATAACGCATGCCATTAAGTACAAAAGTTCCTAAATGTAAGTGCAAGATAATTTTTAGTAAAAATAGTTACCAAAGATCATGTGTGGGATCAACTCTCTCCATTTTACCTTAGGTTGATCAATTGTTTACCATTACCAATAGGTATTGTAGCAAAATAATTGTTTAAACATCGCTTAAATCATCCTTTGTTGCACCAAGAAACTTCCACCAATGGCTTTGAAATATGTCCTCCTATTGATATGGGTAGCAGTAAAAAACATCAATATTGAAAATGAGAAATAATAATGAATCATATATCTATATGACAGTACTTCATGCAATAAAGCTTTTACTATACAATAGTAAAAATATCAATATTATTTACACTTTAGTACATTGTACATACAAAGTAAATTTCAAACTTGAATGGACTTTAAACTACATTGTAGATTTATTATGTATCTAGAATTAAAAGTCTATAAAAATGTCTGAATCAAATAAAATGATAATGCTCACGACTAGATGTCTGAACTATAAAGCAATACTTGCATGTTTGATATTCTAAGAAAAATGTGCGATAATAAACATGTTAACTTAATGAAATCAGATGAAGGAGTTTCACATTTCAATGCTTTCACTGTTCTGTTTTTTTGTAAGATTCCATGACTTTACCTCTACAACTTTGAATTGTTTTTTTTCCAAAACTAACTTGCGCAAGCCAGCCAATTTACATGGATTTTGTTCTGTGGATTTTAAGACAGTTATCATCTGTAGAAAATTTAAATGTAAAGGTCACCAACTTCATTCATGAACCTTAATTCAGATCTAGCAAGATTTTGTATATTAATAAAAAGAACAGGTATGTACAACATATCCACAAAGACAGAAATCCATCAAGTACTGATATGTACAACATACCCAGACAGAAATCCATCAAGTACTGATGCGTACAACACACCCAGTCAGAAATCCATCAGGTACTGATACGTACAACATACCCAGACAGAAATCCATCAAGTACTGATATGTACAACATACCCAGACAGAAATCTGTCAAGTACTGATACATACAACATACCCAGACAGAAATCTGTCAAGTACTGATATGTACAACATACCCAGACAGAAATCCATCAAGTACTGATACGTACAACATATCCACAAAGACAGAAATCCATCAAGTACTGATACGTACAACATATCCACAAAGACAGAAATCCATCAAGTACTGATACGTACAACATATCCACAAAGACAGAAATCCATCAAGTACTGATACGTACAACATACCCACAAAGACAGAAATCCATCAAGTACTGATACGTACAACATATCCACAAAGACAGAAATCCATCAAGTACTGATACGTACAACATACCCACAAAGACAGAAATCCATCAAGTACTGATACGTACAACATACCCAGACAGAAATCCGTTAAGTACTGATACGTACAACACACCCAGACAGAAATCCATCAGGTACTGATACGTACAACATACCCAGACAGAAATCCATCAAGTACTGATATGTACAACACACCCAAAAGAAATCCATCAGGTACTGATACATACAACATACCCAGACAGAAATCTGTCAAGTACTGATATGTACAACATACCCACAAAGACAGAAATCCGTCAAGTACTGATATGTACAACATACCCAGACAGAAATCCATCAAGTACTGATACGTACAACATATCCACAAAGACAGAAATCCATCAAGTACTGATACGTACAACATATCCACAAAGACAGAAATCCATCAAGTACTGATACGTACAACATATCCACAAAGACAGAAATCCATCAAGTACTGATATGAACAACATATCCACAAAGACAGAAATCCATCAAGTACTGATACATACAACATATCCAGACAGAAATCTGTCAAGTACTGATATGTACAACATATCCAGACAGAAATCTGTCAAGTACTGATATGTACAACATACCCACAAAGACAGAAATCCATCAAGTACTGATACGTACAACATACCCATACAGAAATCCGTCAAGTACTGATATGTACAACATACCCAGACAGAAATCCATCAAGTACAGATACGTACAACATATCCACAAAGACTGAAATCAATCAGGTACTGATACATACAACATACCCACAAAAACAGAAATCCATCAAGTACTGATATGTTCAACATACCCAGACAGAAATCCGTCAAGTACTGATACGTACAACATATCCACAAAGACTGAAATCCATCAGGTACTGATACATACAACATACCCACAAAGACAGAAATCCATCAAGTACTGATACGTTCAACATACCCACAAAGACAGAAATCCATCAAGTACTGATACGTACAACATATCCACAAAGACAGAAATCTATCAAGTACTGATACATACAACATATCCACAAAGACAGAAATCCATCAAGTACTGATACGTACGACATATCTAGAAATCCACAGAGGCAAACATTTCTAAACATCAGGACCAGAAAACATGATTACAATTTCTAGGTACCAGGTAGGAGTTTTGATGTACCTAATAATTAACAGCATCCTTACTGTTGATGAAGGAGTATAAACCTACAAACCATCACCTGTATTACCTGGTAAATGGAAAACGTTTGATTCCTTGTGAACCACAAAATAAATTTAACTTACAGTGTGAGGTTTCCTCTCCCCACTCCCTCAATTTTTTTTATAAAGAGAACAAAGGAAGTCAAAGTTATAACAGGATGTCATTCATGTGATGATCACTTTAAACTTCAATCAGAGGTATGGATAAGCCAACATACTATATGACATGGTTTCCCTCAATCATACCTGAAGGAATTCTAATTAAGGAATTAGTCAAGATCTATTACATATCCTCAACAAATATCAGCCATACATGCAACCACTTTATTCCGGGTCACAATGATAAATGTATACACAAGTACATGTTGAACAGGCAATATGTAATAGCACTGCACTAACACTTAAGAACTATGAAGCATGAAATCAAACACTTGGTACTGATATACTAAGTTGCTGGAAACCATGGTTACCTCCAAATGACTGTATAATGTAGGTACTAGTGAAGGAGTCTTCTGCACCAGTACTGTCTATCTCGACTACGTCCATCGTCTGATCTGATATGTCAGACAGAGCAATACAAGAGGAGTCATGGCCCTGACTTTGGTCATGCGTTTTCTCCTCTTCTCCCAAGTCAACCAAGAGACACTGGTAGGTATCCCCTTCAGGTCCACATTTCATTGATGTGTTATCTGCCTCCTCTTCCTCCACATCACTCTCAAAATACAGCAATTTAAGGTCAGAGGAGGTTGATAACGATGTGTCAGATGAGGTCGATGGTGATGAATCAAAACAAGTTTCCTTCACTTCATCAGCCTCTGAATTGCCACCAAAATTGTCCTGAAATTTTGTGTTTAAGGAGCACCTTACACTTCTACGTGGGGTTCCATACACAAAATTATCAGACAAATCAGATGAATCACTTGTGTCCACTATTTTTTTAGATTTTTTGCGAGGAAAGGTTTTGGGTGTATACACTCTCTTCTTCCTTCTTTCCACACTCTCCTGTCTCCTCTCTGTGAGAGCTTGTCGTGTACTGAGAGCAGGGCTTGAACCTACAGGCCTACTACTACGTGTAACCAAATGAACTAGGGCATCTGCTTCTTCATTTAGAGCCTGTCTCGTACTCTGAGCTGGACTAGTGCCAATACTTTGGTTGTTTAACACTGAACACAAAACTTTGTCAGATTTAGACCAATGGCACTCTGATTCGGTTCTTTCTGACTTGCCATGATTACTTTTCTTTAACATGAATTTCTTGCCTTTGTACTTGATGACCAGGCTTTTCTCATCATTATCGTTCTCCGTCTCTGACTTATTAAGGAAATTTATGTTATTTTCCACATTTCCTTTCTCTGTTCCAATAACTGTTTGTAATCCTTCTCCTTTAGGACCATTCATTCCTGTCAACCAATTTGTGATTGACATCTGGCCGGGAGAAATGTTGGACTTTTGGGATTTTTTGCTTTTTGTCTTTTTGGATGTTTTCGGAATATGTTCACTTGGCTGTCTTTTAACTTGAGCATTTTGAGGTTTTGAGCTTGAGCTCTTGTTTCCACTTTTGTCACATTCTGATTCTGTCCCGCTTGTCAATAAAGCCCGGAGAAGTCCCTTGCTTTTCACTGCTGTGTTGACTCTGACTGGACTATCATCATCAGACATTTCACTATCTTCAATACAACTACTTGTGCTAGATATGTTCAAGATATCATTTTTAGCTACACACTGTTTGTTTGATGAGCCAGACCTGCTTCTGCAAAACTGTCCTTTACTATTTTTAGATCGCATGAAATGCTTAAAAGGAGACTTTACATCACTGCTTTCACTTGAGGCCTTTAACTCCATGATAGATTTCTTCTTTGCTGCCCTAGATTTTTTTTTAGAAAAGCAGCCTTTACAATAATTCCATGGGTTTTGTTTATAGCTCTTTTTCTTAGGAGATATTACCACGCATTTGGATATGGATTTTTTCATTTTTATCTTAGAGTCTGTCCCAATCTTTTCCAGTCTGAGGGCATCAGCTGTAGTTAGTCCTACAGATCTTGTTCTCTTAAACCCAGTGCGGGCTCTCTTCAATTGTATATCAAGGGCTGACTGCCTGACATTACTTTTAACGGGAGAAACTTGGGTTGGTTTAGGGTTGGGAATGGTAGCTGAAGGTTGCAGCCTGCGAGGTGACCTACTTTCTACAGTCTCACCAACAACAGACAACACATCCTCAGATATCTTTTGTCGTTTCGATGTGGTATTTTTTATACTCTTCTTACGCTTTTTTTGCTGGGACTTTGATGGTTCACCTGTGTCGTATTCGTTGGAAGTTGAAGGCTGACAGTCTATTGAATCCACTACATTTAATTCATCATCTGTCTCCTCGTATGACAGACGCAGCACAGTACCTGGTGATAAAGCACTGGAGGCAGGTGGGGAAGAAAGTGTTGAAGATCTTGCGGGAAGGCTTTTCTTAATCAGTTTATCAGACTTGCCAGGGTATTCACTTTTACATTTACTATCCAAATCTACTTTCACATTTTTATTTGATGCATCAGGAGACTGCTCTTTTGTCACAGTTTTCTTCTTTCCTTTAGAAACTGCAAGAATGAAACAATAAACTAATTAAGACAAAATAAGAAGTCCTTATTGGACCCTGGCATCCAACCAACATATCCAAAATAACAATAGCCCATATCCTGCATTGCTCATCTGAATCTTAAATCCCACCTATGCTTTACATGCCTATAGGTTGGGTATTTTAAATATTTCCAAATTAAAGCTCAGTCACTTAACCCCATTGGTGGGGAAAGACCAATAGGTTAATTCTTATATCATTACTGTCTTTCTCTTTTGATTCCCAGTAAGAGTTTTTTATGGTAATCAGGTTAGTATCTCAAATATATCAAATATATAACCAAGAAATAATGTCCTTTTGGGCCAGGTGAGCTAAAAAGAAATCATATCAAAGGATAAATTTTGTCTCTTCAAAATACCATTTTCTATCTCACATCCTAGTATTTAGTCGTTTACATTAAGATACAATCAAAGTCTTTTCTTGGGGAATAAATCTTAAATATTGAACTTTTGTAGTGCTGGTCCAAGTGAGGGAGTTCCATGTTACTATTTCAGTCGAACTGTGGGTAGTGTGCAAATCACACACACACATATATATATGCTGAAGAACTTACTTTTCATTTCAACAGTCTTACAATCTTGGCAGACATTGTCCCTGCCAACCTTGGACAGACTGTGACAACCTACATGTGATCCCTGTGATCCACACCAGCTACATACGATGATCTCCCACTTCCTATAAACAAAAAATTAGCAGAAAATGAATAATTGATTCACAAGAAATTCACTTAGTTCTTAAGTCAAGGCAACATTCAGAAAATTAAGTCAGATAGCACCTATGTCTATTAATATCAGCATCCTTTCCCCCTCTCCTTTAAAAAAAATAAAAAATAAAGAAAAATATTCCCTAGTTCTTACACAGTAAAACAGGGTCCGTCTGTCAAGGTTATCTGTAAAACAAGGTACTCACTGCCCATCCTGATTGTAGTCCCTGCCCTTAGGACAATGACAATGTTTGGCATCACAGTGAAGGTATCGCTCTAGTAAGTCACGAAACGCATCAGGTTCTGTCTCCCAAGCAGCATCCCTGTTGGTGACAAGGCATAAATTTTAGTTTTTCCCCCCTTTATTTCTGTAAAGTAAATCATGTGATGAACCAATATAAAGCAAAATACATTTATATATCACCAAAACCATGGACCTGATGTGAAGTATAACTAAAAACAAGAGATCCTGCAAGGGTCTTAGTACCCACCACTATTCAATCTTTTTAAGTCAAATATTTTCCTTTCTATCCTATGTTCTTACTCTTAATTTTATGAAATTTAAATACTTCCCTAAGATGATCAGTCACAAAAATCAAAAGGGCACAACCTGGCTTCAAACAGACCCTGTACAGTATAGTGCAATTTCCTCAAACTGATCCTTCTCAAAACAGAATGAAATGGCAATGTATGGAATGATATCCTTTTTATTATAAAAATCCCATGGGCGAGAATGGTGGTCATGTGGCACAGTGTTAGCACACTTGCCTTTCACTGGGCTTCAATTCCTGAAATGGATGCGAAAAGGTAGGGGGTCACCTGTCTGCACATATGAGTTTTCCCTGAGTACTCCGGTTTCCTCCCACAGCAAGACCCCTTGCACTTACATCCAAGCCAACAAGAGTGATTAACATAAGTTGAAATAACTTGATTTGCAATTGTTGTAAAATAAATAAAGTTTATCTTTATTTCTTATTGGTAACCTGAGTAAGGATGGTGTTTTTGTTCATTTAACATATCATAGAATTAATAAAGTAAGATAACTACATTGTACATACAATGCAAATATTAAATGTGTATAACATTAACTGACACCTCATGTCAAGGCTCCTAACCACATTTTAATTAAAAGAAATTACCCTAAAAATATTATTTCTCTATTGAAACTCTTCCACCAACTTTCTAATAAGTTTCAAAATCAAAAGAGCACAACTATGGACAAAGGGTAACCTACATATGAAATTTGAGAAAGACCCATTCTGTACTTTTCAAGAAATAGAAATAACAAATTTTCATTGTTGAAATCTAAGATGGCTGTCTGTCAGCTGTTTTATTATCATAGTCAGCCCAAAAATCAAAATCTGAAGATGGTGGGCTAAAAAAGAGATGATGTTGTGATGTTAACAATGTTCAATGAACAAGTGATCCCAAAGGGATCTTGGCATTCACCATCGACTGATCTTTATTCATTCTATGAAAGACTGATCTATTCTCCACTATTCCCTCCTTTCCCATTTTCCTCCTGATCACCTGATAACAAGGGAATCCAATATATAAAATCTAGAAAATATCTAACAAGAACTTTCAATACTGATAACAAACTTAAGCCATCAAATCCAAGATTATCTTCTGTCAATTATCTTGAGCACATATGAATAGACCAAGGGCAATCAAGCTTTAGAAAAATCTTTCCAGTACTTCTCCAGACACAGTGAAATGAAGGCCAAAATCTAAGAAAGCCATCTCTTGATCATTTTGTACCAGAGAACAAACTCAAAATTAAATGGCCACAACTAGGGGCAGTGGGAAACCTACTTAGTAAGATAGAGAAACATCAAAAAGAAGTGATAGCAAGGATAGTTTATGGATGGAATGATGGATGGATGGATGGATCATAAATGAAAAGTGATGATTGTAAATAGATCATCATCAGATGGTTGGCTATTCACATATTGTTATACTACAGAGCAACTTCCCTAAACTCTCTCAAATCTGATCACTTCTTCACATCAAACAAAATCTACAGAATTGTTTCTTCTATAGACTGAAAAATGTCATTATACTGATCTATCTAAATTCTGAACATCATCATACATGCTAGTAGAATTTGTTTAATAATTAAGCATTTAAATAGATGAAGGAATAAAACTCTGCTTGATATCTATTTGAAACACGATCAAAACATGGACAGAAAACAACATCTTGCTCTTCTGATTATCTATATAAAATCCCATTCTTGAAAAAAAGGCCAACAAGGCCTGGCGGTACTGATTATAGACTGACAATGAACTCACTGGTCTGGAAGGTAGATACCAAACTTGAGCATCTCTTCCTGGAATATCTCTTTGTTGTTACACAGCGGACACTTAAAGAAGTACAGACCTGCTGTCATTGCATGTTTCTGTAACAAAGTTTGTATTTTATAGAGAAAACAAACAGACCCCAATGGACAATTTGTCATGCTTTAAAACTGGTTGTATTTATTTCATTTACAACTAACTTTATTATCATCATGGCCCATATTGACATCATTACAAGGAACCTATTACATCAGGTAATGGTACAGGCCATATCGTATACTTCCAGAGCTGTACAGTGGAGTGTACAATAGGGCATCAAGCCGATTTGTCTTGCAAAAGATGTATTACATCAATGTATTAACAAGAATAACGCAGGGCAGGACAATATACGCCCATCCCATGTCAAAGAAATAAATGGATATGGTTACAATGGGTAAAATTTTTTAGAGGGTAAACAGTGCTATAAGGATAAAACATACCAAGTGTTAAACAAGAGGCCCAAGGGGCCTTAACGGTCACCTGAGGAATATATGTCAATAATCTGGGGATTTTAAAATGTTGCAAAAATGTAACAACACTTGTGCAGGACCATGTGTAAAACATCTGTACCAAGTTTGAACATGACCCACCCAATGGTTCTTGAGGGCAAGTCCATAATGTCTTAGCCAAACAGAGGCCAGGGTGGCCATCTTTGATTTTGAATGGCCCCAAAAAGTTAAAACACTTGCCAGGACCTTGTGTAGAACATTCGTATCAAGTTTCCCTTATTGGAGCCATGCCCTTTTTGTTCGAAAACTTGAAGTGGCTTCCCATGGAGATGCTTTGTGCCAACTTTGGTCAAAATCCATCCAATGGTTCTTGAGAAGAAGTCATTTAAGGAAGGTTTTTACATATGGCCCCTTTTACACCCCTTATGGACCCCAAAGGGGACATAATCACTTTTTTCAACATAATTTCATATGTCCTTCACTAAGGGATGCTGTCTACCAAATTTGGTTGAAATCGGTCAAAGTTGAATTTTTTACCCTTTTGAGCGCCCCCCTAGTGGGGCCGTTTTTGACCCAATTTTTTTTTCATTCGCAAACTTTGTAGACCTTGCCATAAGGACTCTAAATATCAAGTATGAACTTAATCTGACTGTTGGTTCATGAGAAGAAGATTTTTAAAGATTTACCTAGTTTTACCCCCTTTTCCCCCCTCCTGGGGCCCCTATTGGGGTCATGCCCTTTTTCTTCGCAAACTTGAAGCGGCTTGCCATGGGGATGCTTTGTGCCAAGTTTGGTCAAAATCCATTCTGTGGTTCTTGAGAAGAAGTCGAATACGTGAAAAGTTAACGACGCATGACGACAGACAAATCATGATGGCAATAGGTCACCATGAGCCTTCGGCTCAGGTGACCTAAAAACTGAAGCTGAAGGAGGAGATATATGGAGAACATAGAACAGTTAAAAAACAAAGACCCATAACTCTTGCAAAAACACAATGCTATTAATAAAACACCATTTCACGGTTAAAAAGTTTACGGAGTTTCAGATAAATTGCTGAGAAACTGAGGAAAAAGATTACCATACAAAAATGAAATATTTTATCATTTAACAAATTAAAAATTTTCCATCACTTAAGTTGATGTTTGTGAATACCAACCGAAATACAGGATCTGTGGAACCAGGAATTATGACAGCAAGGAGCTCGCAGAGTTTCATTGGATGCTCTTGTCTCTACAGATGTCATGCAGATAGCACAGGTTGTGTTGGCAGTACCATAGAATGCTAGGCGGTCACTGACAGACACCATCTGTCGAGGCCTATGATCCTCACAAAACGATCTGTTACATAAAGTATTATGCTATATCAATTTCTTATCCATAAGTCTGAGATATTTATCACAATCGAGAATACACAAGAATTATGTTACTGTTACGTTTTACTCTTCATACTTTATCATCAATTCATTTAAAGCTACATGCGATGTCAAAAGAAAAATATACATGCATATCATTTTTACCTGAAAGAGTCATAGTACTGGTGCATTGTACCACTAGTTTTTCCACATCCAAAGTGGAAGACACGTCGACAAGCTCCAACTACGCAGCCGATAGTTGCACCCTTTTGTTTACAGTATGTACAGCGCTGAACAGAAACAAATACGAAAATGATGACTATAGTATGGAAATCATCAATGTATTTAGTATATTTGTTTTCTGAACCAGAAGATAATTGTAATGAAATGAAGTCCTCTACAAGTTTTCAGATGTATGCTGTCTACTCATATTTCTTTTGTCAGCAGATTTCTTATGTTGACCGTCAAGGATTTCCTCCCATAAATCTTACAATGCTTAATTTTGCATTACACGTTCCTCTAGAAAGGTAGAATCAACTATACTACTCATAATTTGATAGGGATCACACCTAATAATTAGCAAAATTTTCTTTTAAAATAAAATAATATGTATTCCTTATATTTGTTGGTTTATATCTGTACCGAGGTCTATGTGTATCGGGTGTTTATGTGGTCAGTCACCTGTAACGCCTACACTTCACGTGTACACGCACGAGCCTCCTACGTGCAGATTGTCATCAATACGTTTGTGGCAGAATATTTCGCTTCTTGCTTTACATTTTGAATTTTAATGGTTTGAAAATGCCCCAACAGCAGGCAAGAAGACGTCTAAGCACTTCAGATATGGACAGGGGCATTGGTATGATCCAGTCTGGTAGGTCACAAAGGGAGGTGGCCAATGACCTTGGTGTGTCCCAGAATGTTGTGTCTCATATGTGGAATCGTTACCAAAATTATGGAACTGTCTCCAAAAGACATGGTGGGGGTAGGGAATGACTTACCTCGCAGCATCAAGACCGCTACCTTGTTATTGCAGCTCGACGTCAAAGGTTCATCAACGCTACATCACTACGTAATGACTTCTAGAATGCCACGGGAACTCGTATCTCCACACAAACTGTGAGAAATAGACTTCATGATGCTGGTTTAAGGTCGCGCAGACCTGCTGTGAGAATTCCTTTGCATTACGACATGTTCAAGCTAGACTTGCTTGGGTTTGTGATCATGTGAATTGGAACCTCCATGACTGGTCCCCCGTACTTTTTTACAGACGAGTCTAGATTTTGCTTAGATTTCACTGACCGACGTGCCAGGGTGTGGCGACTACCAAATGAGAGGTTCCGTGCCGCTAACGTTTCCCAACATGACCGATACCGTGGTGGATCTGTTATGGTTTGGGGTGGCATTAGCATGCAAGGCAAGACCGACTTTCATGTGTTCCTTAATGGCAGTTTGACTGCACAGAGGTACTGTGACGAAGTCCTGGACGTGTACGTCAGGCCTTATGCTGGTGCTATAGGTCCGGAATTCATTCTTATGGATGATAATGCGCGACCACACAGAGCTCGTGTGACTGAACAGTATCTGGAAAGGGAAACAATTGAGAGGATGGACTGGCCAACCCGATCTCCAGATATCAATCCTATAGAACATGTGTGGGACATGCTTCAGAACGCTGTTTCGGCGAGAAACATCCAACCTAGAACGCTTCAGGAACTTCAAGCAGCTCTCGTCCCTGAATGGACAAGTATTCCCCAAAACCAGATATGAGACTTAATCAGAAGCATGCGCCGCCGCTGCCACAGCGTAATTGATGTTCGAGGACGTTATACTCGATACTAACACTGTATTTTTCGCTGAACGAAACTGTTTCATAGGACTTAATTGTTCGCCCCTCTTGTCGTAATTTGTGATTTTCGGGGTATCTGTGTACAATGAGCATTGAAGCAAATTAATACTGTTATTCTTCGCTTGGTGTTGTTAAATCTTCATCTTATAATGCCGAAATTTGTATAAATTGAACTGTAGAATATATTCTTAAAATACATACCGTTACACATTAAATAAAAAAGTGATCCCTATCAAATTGTGAGTTTTATACTTTCAAAGATATACACTGAATCGAATTGCTCTTGTTAAGAATTATACCGGATTCTGAATGTAGTGGAGACCTAAGCTTACAAAACTTTGAGCATTTTCTTCTGATGCTTCATTTTGTTTGGTGTTCCTTACCAATCTTGCTCCTCGGCGCACTTCCTTCATTATGTCTTCAGGCATGAAGCCAAAGATTCCCTCCTTTTCTGACTTGCCCCCTTGGCTCAAACCACTGGAAAACAGCTGAACAAAGAGTACCAGTTATACATTACTGTCGATGTTAAACTTTGCCTATCTGAACTCCAAACTGGTCAAAGTTAAACCCAATCTTCACCAATCTGAACTCTAAATTGGTCAATGTTAAAGAGTAAAAGCTAAAAGTATTGTTGATATTACAATATAGACAACATGTAAGTATTTGATATTACAATATATACAACATGTAGATAATTGATATTACAATAAGTAATTAATATAACAATATATACAACATGTAAGTAATTGATATTACAATATATACAACATGTAGATAATTGATATTACAATAAGTAATTAATATTACAATATATACAACATGCAAGTATTTGATATTACAATATATACAACATGTAAATAATTGATATTACAATATATATGACATGTAGGTAATTGATAATACAATAAATGCAACATCAAATAAATTGATATTACAGTGAAACCTGCTTAATATCATGTTCCATTTGTCTGGGGGAAATATGATAATAAGCGGAACATGACATTAACAGTTGACACATTTTTCCGGATGTCCAAACTCAGAAGTTAATTTTCAGATATGCTAAACTGACGTGATTCTAACAGAAATTGTTTGAAGACAATAAATTTGAAATTTGATTTGTTTTTTCCCATAAGAACAGTGATTTTCCTTAAATTTTGTTCGTTTATTCCTTGAAATATCTAAACGGCAATTATGAGTTATCGTGAACGATCATGACAACTCGTGTCATATTCAGTTTACACCTGGTCAGATTGGTACATGACGCTACCGTGTCATCAGCTGATGTTTTGCCATAAAATTTATTCATCCATTACTGTATAGGCTTCATAATGGTGTATTTGTTGCAAAGTTGGTATATACAGAGTGTATCTCTGCAACTTCAATAAAATGTGTTTTGAAAATTACAACTCAGAAATTAGCCAACAGAGTGTTAACTATTCACCTTTGAAACATAACATTTCATTGGCTGTTAAATGAATGGTTATTTTTCATGGCCAATCAGATGTCATGAAACACAACATAGAGAAAACCCAGTTTCAGAACATTTTACTGTCACCTTACCAATGCTCACGATAATTTAAGTGATAAATGATTTAAAGAAATTTTAAAACCTTGACATTAACATCATGACCAATTGGGTTTTCAATCCTCATTCCTTCAATACTCCCCCCCCCCCCCATTGAACGAATCATCAAAGAAAATTATTATGATAGCCTTAAGCCACCCAGTGAAGCTTTTCTGGGCAGGTGTGATAATTTTCTATAATAAATTATGCTTAATCCTAATTTCATTTCGCAAAACCTGAAGTTCAAATTGGTTATTTTAGCACTTTAAGCTTTGTATCGGAAACAAATTCTTATGAATTTTAAAGATGGCAACATTGTAATAATACATAATGATTCCATCTTGCTTTCATTATTTGTTGTATTTGGTACTTTCAGCAAAAAATCTACATCAAGTCTCAGGTCCTTGACCAATTAAAACTATTTCCTGCTAAATCATGACAAAATGGTTGAACCTTTTTTTTTTAATGTTATGAATAACAATTCTGACTCACCACAAGTGAAGTTAGAGAAAACAAACATCTGTTTTAGTCAAGCTACACATAAAGACTTCTGTATATATATTTCTTACCATGCAGAAGTAATGGACAGTGAGGTTGCACTTTTTAATCATTTTGCCAAATGTTTCTTCATTGTCCTCAGAAAGATTGCAGAAAGCACAGGCATTGGGATCTATCACAGCTGGAACAACAAATTAAAGAAATCAGTTTCAGTTATAATACAATTCACATTTAACAATAGCATTGGGCACAATAAATGATGTTATAATTTAAACTTAAGTGACAAGTATTACACAGAAGTCACCTTGTTAACAAAGACAACATTAACTACATTGTACATAAAAGCAAATATTTTGTATACAAAACAGGAAATTTTTTAACTGCACTTATGGATTTATTTTGATTAGAATTTTATGAAAAAATTAAAGTTTCTTAAAAAAACTATCGTAAACAATGCCTTCTCCCTAAAGGGAAAATACAAGAACCTGCGCCATGTTCCAGGGGTGCAGAGAGCAAAAGTGATGGGAACCCCTGTAATATCGAGGATGTTGTCCTCTTTACTTTAATATTCTGTCATTTATTCAGATATCACCTGACATCACAGACAAAGCACAACATGGGGATTCCCTACCATAAAATCATGTGTGTTATGTAAAGCTGAAATACAGTAAAAAAATTGAGCTTAAATCATGGTAAAGACACATTTACATAATGCTGTTATATAAGGGGAAGAGTAAAAATGTGTTCATGTCTCTGCTTGGTAGCCAGTAACATCTTTACATATCGCTGTCTAATTAAGCAGGACCAATTTCTGTTATTCATCTGATGTGATTTGGCTCTGTTTGCCGTCTTATATTTCAACAAAATTGACTTTTTGTATTGTTCTTTTGTTTATTGTTCCTAACTGAGCCCGACTTCAGCAATCTTATGGATAATCTCTTTCAGTGAATTGCCAAGGTCAGTCACTTGATTTGACTACAACAAGTTGACTGTGCATGTTCATATCTAAAATCACTGGTGGGATTAATCTTCAAACTTCTGGTCAAGTTAACACTTCCAACTTTTTGTGATTTAAGAACTCTTGAGCTACCTTTGAACTTAGCCTGTTGTATCAGTGTAAAGTTAACAACTTACACCAATTAAGAAAAGTCAGGATTTTCATTTCGTTTTTTTTCTATAACTTAAAATTGCTTCAACAACATAAGGTCCTTTTAGGACCAACAAGAAACTACAGTATATCTTTGAAATGAAAATATAAGTTAGTGTGTTTTTTCAGACATAGTCATAAGGTTAGAGAGAGCGTTAGTAATAACTTACTTGAGACACTCTCCCTTTTTTTCTTGCAGCCAGGCATCTTGGTCACAGAATCTGAAAAATTCATTGAATTAGTCGCCCTGCATGTAGCTAGTATCAACAAGAGATCCCAGAGAGATCATGGCGCCCACCATTGTTTGATCTTCATTTTATTTGCTGTATGGAAGTTCGATCTTTTCCCTTTTTTGAACATTCCTTTGCAGATATAGTGATGATAATTGTTGCCTATAAGTCATTTTGTTTCTTCTGGTCAGTCCAAAAATCATACTGGCACACTTCTTAAGAAGTAGGGATATCAACCTTTCCTAGGCAAAATCCAAAATGGCTGCCTGTTGGCCATTTTTATTTCTGATCAGTCCCAACTACAGTCCAAGAGGAACCTATACATGAAATTTGTAGATTTCAAGAAAAAGCAATAACAAACATTCAAAGTCAAAATCCAGGATGGCTACCTGTTGGCTATTTCATATGCTGATCAGTCCCAAAATCAAATAGGCACAACTACTGGCCAACAGGAACCTACCTATAAAATTTGCAAAAGATCCATCCAATACTTCAAGAAATAGTGATAACAAAAATAGTTAGAGCAACTTCAATAGCCCACCATCTGAGGATGATGGGCTTATTACCTGTAATTTGGCAGCAAAAGCACCTCATGCACGATCAGATTGCAAGCTTCAATTTAACAAGAGGAGCACCTCATGCACGATCAGATTGCAAGCTTCAATTTAACAAGAGGAGCACCTCATGCACGATCAGATTGCAAGCTTCAATTTAACAAGAGGAGCACCTCATGCACGATCAGATTGCAAGCTTCAATTTAACAAGAGGAGCACCTCATGCACGATCAGATTGCAAGCTTCAATTTAACAAGAGGAGCACCTCATGCACGATCAGATTGCAAGCTTCAATTTAGAGGCTCATAGACCTTAATGGTCATTTAAATATTGCTATAACAACAAGTATCTTACGGTATTGAATCTGTGTAAATTCAAAGTAGTTAAAATGTGGTTTAAAACACATGTTACTAAAAAACAGATGAAAAAAAAGCAAAATTAACCATTCACAGTAACAGTACATCTGATTTCCTGTTTACCTGATCTAAGGTTTAAAATATGTAAGGATCAGGAACCTCTGTCATTTTCCGTAAACGAGAAATATGTTTGTGGATAAATTCTTTTACTCTTAGACATGGAGGAGAGTGACATCATAAATTGTGTAACGAATGAGCATTACCTAGTGTGTCTTGCATTCAATCTGTCATCAAATTGACGAATATTGACTCATTGACAGACCTAAACAGCTAATTTGCATCTCATAATATTGATCATACTGCGCCTGCTTTTATGCAAATAAATATGTGTCAAAATATTGAAATAACTGATCTTGTTGAAGGAGGAAAAACTTCACAAAGATAAGATATTTTTGTTATGATTAATTATGTATGTTATTGCAGCTAACACTGAATGATGTTGCAAAGAACACATTTATCATTGAATTGCATGAAACAAAAACAAAAAGTTTTGAATGTATTAAGACCACTACCGTAGGGAGTTCTAAAAGTAAGAAAACCAAATCCAAATTCAGGTCAACGACATCTTGAGTGCAAACTGTGTTAACCCAGAACGTTTTATATGGTGCTTCTGGAAAACAGGAAGAAAAACATCCCCTTTAGGCTTTACAGAAATGAATCTTATTCGATGCAGAACTCCAAACGGTATTATATCATAAAACAACATTGTCGTCATGAGCTACGTTTTTTCATCAAATATTGAATGTTGTTTTGGGGAACATAAGCTATAACTGAATTTGTAAAGGAAGCTTCGCCGTAGTAAACTCTGCAAAGCCAAGTGTGACGACCCCCTGAGTTGAAAGGCAGGGTCGGTCCACATGAGAAATCTTAGGAAAGCAGAATTCATGTCAACGATCTTCACAGTACTAACCAGAAACTAAGAATCACTATGTATTCAGTAAGTAGACCTACATGCAATTACGACCACATGTTCTCAACTAATGCCGGATGTTCGAGTAGCACCTATTGTTTTGCTATTTAGTGTACAAGCACGTCACATCTTCGACATATTCTATATAATTCGAACAAGACGACACGTGGCATACTCATAAATCATCTGCTGCAATCATTGTAAATCATTTAAGTTTATATACCTTAAATGGCAAACCCTTGCTTATAATCGCCTGTCTTTCGTTAGCTAAGACATCTCTTTACAGTTCATAACACCCATTCCTTCGCCGTTTTCAAACCTTGCGGCGGGTGACATAGTCACGTGACAAAACCTGGAGCTCATATATTGATGACGATTTTCCAAGATGTCGGCTTCCACGGTGGTGAGTGTCATATGACAAACTAATTCCTCTGATTTACATCAACTTTAAGAAGGGACATGTCATTATTCACTTTCCAGTGGAAACTACCCTTTTTATGTCACGATTTTTGTGGAACGACATTTATGCAAATTGGGCCAAAAATTGAAAACGCCTCTTACGTTGCGATGATTCTCCATGGGAAGTAACTCATTTAAAATGAAATGAACTGATTGCATGCATGTATGGTTATCGAAACAGAGGAATCAGACTGAGACGAAGTTTAGATAAAGCGTATCTATAATAACAAGCGAAAGGGATGATCTATGTCATACTGTGAAAGATTGAAATGGAATTCAAATATTAATTAATTGGCGTTCTTTATATCATATTTTCGTCTGCATGAGTGTGGTAATTACGTTGTCATTTCGCAGACTATTGTTGGTTGGCTAGTTACACGTTCTGTATCGCCACGACTCTTCCTATTTCTAGGCATTGTCTCATCAACGATTGTCAGTGTTCCGTCGATATTGTTGACGTGTAATTATATCATAAATCAGAGACATATATACGTCTCGGCATAAATGTAGAATTTTTTGTAATGTCTGATGTGTATCTATTCTTTATCATAGTGTGTGTGCAGTTACCTGTGACGTGAGCAGGGCAGGTTGCAGCAGCATCACAAAATCACAAGAGCCTCCCTTTACGAAGGGAGACAAAAATTATGGTAGTAATCCTAGCATTACACTGTCTTCTGTCCCACAGCCAATTCCCCCTATGTTATTGTGCCTGAGAAGTAGTGTATGACACAGGAGACACCGACTAGGGATGTAACCATTTAGTGCACTCTTATCTGTGTCTGACTTTTAGTTTGTCGCCAGTGATGGAAGTTCGAGATAACAAAAACACAAGTAGTGAACAGCGAAACAAAAGTGGAAAAAAAAACAAAGCGATATGCATCATGGACCAACACTGATGGCAGCAATGATGACAATGACGGCAAGAATAATACAATGTGAAAAAAGAAACTTTGGTTGTGAAAAGTGGGTATCAGGAACATTTTGTTATTGTCAGGACGACAACCTACAAGGAGGAGATAATGAAGTAAAATTGTAATGACTAATATTTATCTATTTGTTATAGTAGTGTGTGTGCAGTTACCTGAAATGAATGAGATGTGTATGTGCTGTTTTCCTTTCAATATGATCATGGGCGGTTATTCAGTTAGCGTAATTGGTATAGAAGCATGTAAATTACAGGTAGCAAGTTTTTTTCCCCTCGTGATGGAAACAGCTGTTTCACCTGAAAAAGGACTGCGGTAGTTTACTGTGTGCTGGGTGTGGGGATGATAGTGGTTGTTATGTTCAGGATGTGGATTTGGCGCAGGAGCGCATAACATGCAAGATATACCAGTGCCAGCAAGTATAGCAGGTGCACTTGCGGGAGCATGAGTACTGTGAAGTACTAGGGGTGCTCTATTTACCCTGATCAAACTCGCTGAATAACAGACCACTTCCTATTAATCAGCATCAAATGTTTTTGTCCATGTACATTATTTATATGCTCCAATTTATTTAATAACTGCATTCAGTTGTTTGTCGAACAGAAACACTACAGGATGTTATATTAAAAATTGCCCCTGTTGTACCAGGATATTTACTTTTTCAAAATGTTGATTCCAGATAAACTGAGGATGTATAATCACAGACTTAGATAAAGATCTGTGATATTATATTTTACACATTCCTGAATAAACATATATTCTGCAAACTACAGGGTGTCAATGTAAAACATTCTTAAAATGAATAAAGACACCTTTATATTCTGGTGTTAATGAATAAAGTCATAGCTTGTCATAATCAAGTTAAAGTAGGATACAATAACATTTATAGTATGTTCATATAAGGGAGGTAACTCTAATCTTGTTCACCTAGTTTTTTTTATCCCTTGTAAAGTTTTTCAAGAGGTGGTTGAGGGAGACTTTTTCTCCAATGGAGTACTACTTTCTGTTTTTAGCCAATCCTAAGGTAACGTCAACACACTTAGGAAGAGATGTAATTCAGGACAGTAACTTATATTAATTACCAAACAATAGTCATTGACAATTTAAGCAGGCAGTGTCCAAGAAAGAGCTATGCTCTTACAAGTTACTAACAGCAGGCATGTATAAGCTAATATAGAAGGATAAGAAACTAAGCTAATTAGAGACTTCTCTGTTGTTAGCTAATTTTGTGTTATTTCATTGATTTGTGAAGTCATTGAAGCCCATTCTTCATTACAGTTGTTATCTACTCAGATCTATACTGCAGTTAGTGTTGACTTTTGACTGATTGGCTAGACTAGAGCTATAGTGTCAGCCAGTGAGAAGTTAATCTTATTTTGGTAACAAAAGTTATACTAATAAATAAATTTAACATATCACAAAACTACATTAGTCAATCGTAAAATTACTCAAATTTTAATGTCATTTATTTAAAGGTAATTTTCCTATATTTCAGGCTGAAAGTGGTATACATTGTAGGATGATATTTCAGCTGTAAACAGCTTAAATACATATTTTTGTTTTAAAAGCATTCAACATAGAAATTATTTGTTACAAAAGTTAGTGTCATCAGTTCAAACAACCAGTTTGAAAATTATTTTGCAAAAAGTAGTTATATGAAAAGAGATATAAGCAGTTTCTTATCTCTCTGTATTATATGATCCTGCTAGAAGTTTTTTTTTCTGTCAGGGACCAAATTTGAAGTCAAGTCCAGACAGATATTTCAAGAAAGTCTGGTGGTTTATAATATGCAAACCCAGGGATCAAGTTTAACATATGTAGGCCATAAGCAGGACACTTGACAAGAATTTGTGTTTCCCTCTTCTATCACATAGAATTCAAGTGAAACCCAGCTATGAGCTATGGTATTTAAAGTCTACTCTTGAGAGTTATACAATCTTGAGAAAAACAAGATAACAACATTAGAGGAATGGGTTGATGTAGCTTTACATAAACAAAGTGTTAAATATGGTCTCTATCACAAATAAAAGTGGGTGAGTGAGACAAGCTCATTGTGCTTTTTGTTTCATATTTCTCAAAGCTGTTTTGATAATGGTCTTATATATAAATGCTGTGGAAGGTTTCAGATTTTTCTGCTGTTCCATACCAAAATCATTGTTCCCCTAGTAAATCACATGGTACAATTATGAAGACTCCTAGTTTTCAGATTAGGCACTTAGCATCGCTGACGAGTCCTAGAAGAACGAAACAATTGCATGATGCAGTTTAATTCATTACCTGTGTATTTGTACTTTATCTAATTGTGTTGAAAGGTGCCATTCACTTCTGTGTTTTTTGTTCAATCTTTGATTTGTTTATTTCTAGATGGAGTTTGCTGTCCAAATGACCTGTGATGGATGTGCAAAGACTGTCAGATCAAGTCTGGAGGGAGTGGATGGTAAGTTGAAACTTGGTCTTATTATAAGTTTTCATGACCACTATGATGTCAACTTATGTATAATGAATTAGCATTGTTTGATAAATCATTGGTGTTTGATCACTGACTTTCAGACAGAACAGCTTTGCAACTAAACTATAATGTTGTGATTGTAGATATATTTGTAACATAGAATGCACTAATATTTGTGTAGTATGATATGAGTATGTTGGAAGTAACCTCTGATTATACATAGCTTTGTAATATTTTATACGTTATTAATTATTATTTCATTTTATACACTTGTAGTGCTGCTTTTTAAATGTATACCAAGGTATTGTACTTACTGTAAGACTTTTAGTGTTTGGGTAAAATTTGATAAAATATTGAATACATTTCAGGAATTAAATCCATACAAATAAATTTGGAGAATGAACAGGTGATTGTGGAGGGAACTCTACCCTCTAACCATGTAAAAGAGCTCATAGAGGCAACTGGGAAAGTGGCAGTACTGAAGGGATATGGATCAAACACAGGTGAGAATTGATATATCCCAGTTGGTTAAAGTTGTCACACAGACATAAGTTATAACCAAGGACTTATCACTTATTTACCTGGTACTAGGATTTCTTTCCAAGACTTGAATGAGTTTAAAGATAAACATGTATTGAAGATTGGTAGTTCACGACCATAACGTTTCCATATGTTTATGCGTGCAAGAAAACCTATCAGATAATTGTATTTTGTAAAGCTTTGAATTTGAAATTTCCAGGTCTGACTCGAAAAAAATTAAAATCATCAGTAGGAAAATAACCCCCTCTTTGGTTAGTGGTTCTCCATCAACAATTAGCTGTCCTTGTTTTATTTGAAGAAACCCAGCAACAGGATACTGCTGCAGCAGTTGCGATGATGGAGGCAGGAAACACTAACATCAAAGGAGTTGTCAGGTTTGTGCAGACTGGGGAGGACACCTGTGTAGTAGAAGGTACAGTGGATGGACTTCCCGTAGGAAAACATGGACTGTTTATACACGAGTGCGGAGATATATCTGATGGCTGTCGGAGGTACCAATAAGTATTCAGGCTTTCAAACCATAAACATGTACACCTATAATTGGCTGTCAGTGATAATATAAGGTCTTAAGGCTTACAAGCAATTTTCTGTACACCTTTAGCAGACTATCAGTGGTACTAACAGATATTAAGGCTTTCAAACCATACAAATGTACACCTTTAGCTGGCTGTCAGAGGAACCAACAAGTCTTAAGGCTAGGCTGTGCAAATTATGCAAGGTTTTAAAAAACATCAAAACATTCATATTATGTAAACATGAAGGAGATATTTGATTATAGAAAAAGTAATAATGGATTTTTGTAAGTCTATCCTTAGAATTAGATGTGAAATATAGGAAATAATGGTTTTGTCAAATCTAAGCTTTCCATTCTCTGAAATGGAAGGAGATTATACCTCAAAGGCAACAACTTTACCTTAGTATTTCTATATAATAACCAATTTTTACCATGAAGTAAATGAAATTTGAAATCTTAAGACAAGACCTCTTCTTTGAGAACTTTACTTTTTATTAAATCCGCCATGAATGGTATTTTTAAAACTAATAGGTAAATTTGATATATTGTTTTGTCTATAGCTATTGTGTTTCGTCTGTCGACATGCACCATGCATCGTGTGTTGTGCATTGTGCCACATGCGTTTTGTGTAAACTTTTTCTATAAAACCCTACTCCTCTTTCATAGCTGGATGAATTTCTACCAAACTTGGTTTGCTGTATCATTGGGTGAGGTTAATCATTTGCTAAATTAAGATTTTTGATTTGACCCCTAGAGGTTGAGGGACAGTGCCCCAAAGGAGGAGATGCTGAAATAAAACCCCGTTCCTCATTTCTGCCTGGGTGGATTACAACAAGCTTTGGCCTGATTCATCAGTTAGGGCAGGCAATTATTTCTTAAATTCAGAAATTTGATTCGGTCCATAGGAAATAGGAATGACCTTGATTTGCTTGAAACGTCACAGGGATGTATCTTTAAATGACTTCTTCTCAATAACCAAAAGGCCAAGGATGATGATATTAGGCCTGTAGCATGTTAGGATGAAGGGCTACCAACTTTATTGGTATATATATTTATTTTTTCAAGATCACAGGTATCAAATGTGCCAATATTGGGCCTGTGGCTTGCAGTTTCAACATGCAATATATCTGAAGTAATGACAATTATGTAGTGCATGTAATAGAATATGATTTCAAGTTTGCAGAAAATGCCTTGATGAACCAACCATGTCTTCTGTGTAAGCTGTAGAGTAATTGAGCTGTATATTTCAGGCCTAATTTGCCTCTTTCATCTATAGGTCTTTATAGTCAGATAACTGTTAAGGCCTATGGGCCTCTTGTTATTAAAAAAATACTCTACAATTTGTTTTCAGCTGTGGAGATATATTTGGAAGAATGGGACCTCTGACAAGAAAGGTGGGTGATTTTTTAATGATCACAAGTTTTTTGTATTGATTTGGGGTTCAATGCTCCCTACATATATTGCTGTGGATAGCCAGGGTGGGCCTCCTGTATGTTGTTCATTGAGGTAGTCATTGTTGACTACAAGAGACCCTATCTCACAATAACCTTGGCTGTTCATTGAGCAATGAATACAGCAATCAAACAAGCAATGTTTCAATGTCTATATTATTCTGTGTGTTAATTCCTCTTTGACTTATGGTATTGAAGATATAAGATGATATATATACCCTCATGTAATTAAACTTTTTTTACCTTCAAATCTTTCTTAAGTCAGGTATTCTTTAAGATTAGTTCCAGATGTAAAGAAATTAATGGATTAATTACATTTCTTTATATCACTGTTACAGGTGGCTGGAGCTATGGGTGACATAAAGGTCCATCCTGATGGGCGGTCTGAATTTCACATGATAAATAAAAATATCAAAATTCAGGATGTGATTGGCCGATCGATGATAATTCATGAGGAAGATACAGATGCCTGCATTCAAAATAAGCCGGAAAATCGGTAATTATTATTCTTTTGCATTGTGATCGTAAGAATTTTAAAAATGTTATCTTTACATGTTCAACTTTGTAAATTTGGTGGGAAGGGCATTATCAACAACCCAGTTGTATAAGATGCCACTTCAGTTTGTTTAAGGCATTTGCCTTTGTTCATTGTACACGGAGGCTAAAGTAAACTGTATATAGTTTGTTTAAGGCATTTGCCTTTGTTCATTGTACACGGAGGCTAAAGTAAACTGTATTTGGTTCTCAACTTCTCTTATGCTTTGCTGTTATGCAACCAGGTTGAATTTTATGACAATATGTGCTGCTTTCACCCCTATATCTAACATTTCAAGAAATTGGTATATTCACCGACCTTGTTTCATGCAGAAATTCTGAAAATAGCATTATTCTGTCGATTAGTTTTGGACAAACATGATGTCTTCTTCAGACTGTACAAGAGAAATAATCCACTTAGTGGCCCAGTCATGGTTCACATGTTTGCTTGTCTTTTTTTTGCTTTCAGGTTCAACCATTCCAGCTACTCATGTGAAAGTAAAACAAACGTATATAGTACATGAAATAAAGTGAAATATCTTTATTAGATTGTTACATTGTTCTGTTAGACATGTTGTTACTTTGTTCTGTTAGACATGTTGTTACTTCGTTCTGTTTGACATGTTGTTACTTTGTTCTGTTAGACATGTTGTTACTTTGTTCTGTTAGACGTGTTGTTACTTTGTTTTGTTAGACATGTTGTTACTTTACACTGTTAGACATATTGTTACATTGTTCTGTTAGACATTTGTTACTTTGTTCTGTTAGACATGTTGTTACTTCGTTCTGTTAGACATGTTGTTACTTTGTTCTATTAGACATGTTGTTACATTGTTCTGTTAGACATGTTGTTACTTGTTCTGTTTGACATGTTGTTACTTTGTTCTTTTTGACATGTTGTTACTTTGTTCTGTAAGACATGTTGTTACATTGTTCTGTTAGACATGTTGTTACTTTGTTCTGTAAGACTTGTTGTTACTTTGTTCTGTTTGACATGGTGTTACTTTGTTCTGTTAGACATGTTGTTACTGTGTTCTGTTAGAAGTGTTGTTACTTTGTTCTGTTAGACATGTTGTTACTTTGTTCTGTTAGACATGTTGTTACTTTGTTCAGTTAGACGTGTTGTTACTTTGTTCTGTTAGACATGTTGTTACTTTGTTCTGTAAGACTTGTTGTTACTTTGTTCTGTTAGACATGTTGTTACTTTGTTCTGTTAGACGTGTTGTTACTTTGTTTTGTAAGACTTGTTGTTACTTTGCTCTGTTAGACATGTTGTTACATTGTTCTGTTAGACATGTTGTTACTTTGTTCTTTTTTACATGTTGTTACTTTGTCCTGTTAGACATGTTGTTACTTTGTTCTGTAAGACATGTTGTTACATTGTTCTGTTTGACATGTTGTTATTTGTTCTGTCAGACTCGTTATAATTTTTTACTTTGTTCTGTTACAGGTTAGTGTGTGGTATCATTGCCAGGTCAGCAGGTCTATTTCAGAACAGCAAGAAAATCTGCTCATGTGATGGCGTTACTTTATGGGATGAGCGTAATGTTCCAATGGCAGGGGATGGGCGCAAATCTAAAATGTAACTAGATCAACAAAAACAAGGCTTGATAAAATGAAATCCAGTTTTTTCATATACTTTGAACACCTTCAAAATCATTACAGCTTAAATGCATTAGTGATTCCATACAAACTTGTGATGTGACATGCAGAGATACACACAGTTTTAAGACAAGTTTCTGATATAGAGGATTACTAGTAAGGATCATATTGTGGAGAATTTCAATACATGGAATTTAGGAAGAAAAGATGAAAATGATAATAATGTGACAGTAAATTTCTTTTGAAGTTCAACACTATTACCCAAGAAGTTGACTTATTCAGATAATTACATCTTCACATGGTACTGTTGTATAAAAGTATTGAGGGATTGATAAATATGCAGGCTAGTGCTTGAATGATGTCCTGTTGTAATGTGTGAAAACTTAAATATTACACTATTTGTACAGTATAATGAACTGTAATCCTGGAAAATTTTAAGATATTCGGACATTTATTGAATTTGTTCTTAAAAAATTGTGCTTGTAAGAAGGTCATTGGTTTCAGATATGTAATCCTGATTTCCTGACTTTGCTGTAGATACATGTATAATATATTTTTGTTTGCAGTCAGTCAATTTAATCTGATTTCAAAGATGGAATATTACCAGTACATTATTGTGTTATTGAAAAAACAAGATGTGTTATTTTGAATTTGATTTATATCCAATCATTATCATTTTTGTTATGTTATTTTGTACTGATTTTAAAATGTATATATAATGTACATTTATAGTTGCTAATAAATGTGATCTCCAGATAAGGAAAATACTATGATACAGTCTAACTGTTAATGTATTTTAATGAATAAAGAGTGTGCCAAGTAACTTGTACTGTGAACTGTATTATGCTTAATAACGGTAATGGAGAGTGTATGTATCTGTAATAATGGATGCTTGTAATGAAGAGTGTATGTATCTGTAATAATGGATGCTTGTAATGAAGAGTGTATGTATTGTTAATAATGGATGCTTGTAATGTAGAGTGTATGTATTGGTAATAATGGATGCTTGTAATGTAGAGTGTATGTATTGGTAATAATGGATGCTTGTAATGGAGAGTGTATGTATTGGTAATAATGGATGCTTGTAATGGAGAGTGTATGTATCAGTAATAATGGATGCTTGTAATGGAGAGTGTATGTATTGGTAATAATGGATGCTTGTAATGTAGAGTGTATGTATTGGTAATAATGGATGCTTGTAATGGAGAGTGTATGTATCTGTAATAATGGATGCTTGTAATGGAGAGTGTATGTATCAGTAATAATGGATGCTTGTAATGGAGAGTGTATGTTTCAGTAATAATGGATGCTTGTAATGGAGAGTGTATGTATCAGTAATAATGGATGCTTGTAATGGAGAGTGTATGTTTCAGTAATAATGGATGTTTGTAATGGAGAGTGTATGTTTCAGTAATAATGGATGCTTGTAATGGAGAGTGTATGTATTGGTAATAATGGATGCTTGTAATGGAGAGTGTATGTATTAGTAATAATGGATGCTTGTAATGGAGAGTGTATGTATTGGTAATAATGGATGCTTGTAATGGAGAGTGTATGTATCAGTAATAATGGATGCTTGTAATGGAGAGTGTATGTATTAGTAATAATGGATGCTTGTAATGGAGAGTGTATGTATCTGTAATAATGGATGCTTGTAATGGAGAGTGTATGTATCAGTAATAATGGATGCTTGTAATGGAGAGTGTATGTATCAGTAATAATGGATGCTTGTAATGGAGAGTGTATGTATTGGTAATAATGGATGCTTGTAATGGAGAGTGTATGTATTGGTAATAATGGATGCTTGTAATGGAGAGTGTATGTTTCAGTAATAATGGATGCTTGTAATGTGGAGAGTGTATGTATCAGTAATAATGGATGCTTGTAATGGAGAGTGTATGTATCTGTAATAATGGATGCTTGTAATGGAGAGTGTATGTTTCAGTAATAATGGATGCTTGTAATGGAGAGTGTATGTATTGGTAATAATGGATGCTTGTAATGAAGAGTGTATGTTTCTTGTAATGAAGAGTGTATGTATTGGTAATAATGGATGCTTGTAATGGAGAGTGTATGTATCAGTAATAATGGATGCTTGTAATGGAGAGTGTATGTATTGGTAATAATGGATGCTTGTAATGGTAATAAGATGTGTATGTATTGGTAATAATGGATGCTTGGACCAGTGTGTAATGATAATCCCTACCACTACTGCTAGAGAGTGACCAGTGTGTAATGATAATCCCTACCACTACTGCTAGAGAGTGATCAGTGTGTAATGATAATCCCTACCACTACTGCTAGAGAGTGACCAGTGTGTAATGATAATCCCTACCACTACTGCTAGAGAGAGTGACCAGTGTGTAATAATAATCCCTACCACTACTGCTAGAGAGTGACCATGTGTGTAATGATAATACCACTAATCCCTCCCTACCACTACTGCTAGAGAGTAGAGTGTGACCTAGTGTGTAATGATAATCCCTACCACTACTGCTAGAGAGTGACCAGTGTGTAATGATAATCCTTACCACTACTGCTAGAGAGTGATCAGTGTGTAATGATAATCCCTACCACTACTGCTAGAGAGTGACCGGTGTGTAATGATAATCCCTACCACTACTGCTAGAGAGTGACACCTGAATAATGATAATCCTTACCACTAATCCCTACCACTACTGCTAGAGAGTGACCAGTGTGTAATGATAATCCCTACCACTACTGCTAGAGAGTGACCAGTGTGTAATGATAATCCCTACCACTACTGCTAGAGAGTGACCAGTGTGTAATGATAATCCCTACCACTACTGCTAGAGAGTGACCCCTGTAATCCCTACCACTACTGCTAGAGAGTGACCAGTGTGTAATGATAATCCCTACCACTACTGCTAGAGAGTGACCAGTGTGTAATGATAATCCTTACCACTACTGCTAGAGAGTGACCAGTGTGTAATGATAATCCCTACCACTACTGCTAGAGAGTGACCAGTGTGTAATGATAATCCCTACCACTACTGCTAGAGAGTGACCAGTGTGTAATGATAATCCCTACCACTACTGCTAGAGAGTGACCAGTGTGTAATGATAATCCCTGACTGCTAGAGAGTGACCAGTGTGTAATGATAATCCCTACCACTACTGCTAGAGAGTGACCAGTGTGTAATGATAATCCCTACCATTACTGCTAGAGAGTGACCGGTGTGTAATGATAATCCCTACCACTACTGCTAGAGAGTGACCAGTGTGTAATGATAATCCCTACCACTACTGCTAGAGAGTGACCAGTGTGTAATGATAATCCCTACCACTACTGCTAGAGAGTGACCAGTGTGTAATGATAATCCCTACCACTACTGCTAGAGAGTGATCAGTGTGTAATGATAATCCCTACCACTACTGCTAGAGAGTGACCAGTGTGTAATGATAATCCCTACCACTACTGCTAGAGAGTGACCAGTGTGTAATGATAATCCCTACCACTACTGCTAGAGAGTGATCAGTGTGTAATGATAATCCCTACCACTACTGCTAGAGAGTGACCAGTGTGTAATGATAATCCCTACCACTACTGCTAGAGAGTGACCAGTGTGTAATGATAATCCCTACCACTACTGCTAGAGAGTGACCTGTATAATGATAATCCTTACCACTAATCCCTACCACTACTGCTAGAGAGTGACCAGTGTGTAATGATAATCCCTACCACTACTGCTAGAGAGTGACCAGTGTGTAATGATAATCCCTACCACTACTGCTAGAGAGTGACCAGTGTGTAATGATAATCCCTACCACTACTGCTAGAGAGTGACCAGTGTGTAATGATCAACCCTACCACTACTGCTAGAGAGTGACCCCTGTATAATGATAATCCTTACCACTAATCCCTACCACTACTGCTAGAGAGTGAAAATCCCTACCACTACTGCTAGAGAGTGACCAGTGTGTAATGATAATCCCTACCACTACTGCTAGAGAGTGACCAGTGTGTAATGATAATCCCTACCACTACTGCTAGAGAGTGACCAGTGTGTAATGATAATCCCTACCACTACTGCTAGAGAGTGACCAGTGTGTAATCCTTACCACTAATCCCTACCACTACTGCTAGAGAGTGACCAGTGTGTAATGATAATCCCTACCACTACTGCTAGAGAGTGACCAGTGTGTAATGATAATCCCTACCACTACTGCTAGAGAGTGACCAGTGTGTAATGATAATCCCTACCACTACTGCTAGAGAGTGATCAGTGTGTAATGATAATCCCTACCACTACTGCTAGAGAGTGACCTGTGTGTAATGATAATCCCTACCACTACTACTAGAGAGTGACCAGTGTGTAATGATAATCCCTACCACTACTGCTAGAGAGTGACCAGTGTGTAATGATAATCCCTACCACTACTGCTAGAGAGTGACCAGTGTGTAATGATAATCCCTACCACTACTGCTAGAGAGTGACCAGTGTGTAATGATAATCCCTACCACTACTGCTAGAGAGTGACCAGTGTGTAATGATAATCCCTACCACTACTGCTAGAGAGTGATCAGTGTGTAATGATAATCCTTACCACTACTGCTAGAGAGTGACCAGTGTGTAATGATAATCCCTACCACTACTGCTAGAGAGTGACCCCTGTATAATGATAATCCTTACCACTAATCCCTACCACTACTGCTAGAGAGTGACCAGTGTGTAATGATAATCCCTACCACTACTGCTAGAGATTGACCAGTGTGTAATGATAATCCCTACCACTACTGCTAGAGAGTGACCAGTGTGTAATGATAATCCCTACCACTACTGCTAGAGAGTGACCAGTGTGTAATGATAATCCCTACCACTACTGCTAGAGAGTGACCAGTGTGTAATGATATCCCTACCACTCCCTACCCCTACTGCTAGAGAGTCACCCCAGACTAATTATAATCCTTACCACTAATCCCTACCACTACTGCTAGAGAGTGACCAGTGTGTAATGATAATCCCTACCACTACTGCTAGAGAGTGACCAGTGTGTAATGGCCTGGCCATGGTCATTGGTAAATATTTTGACATTATTAATAATCCAAGTTGATATGCATAAAATTATACAGAGCATGATTAATATTAAAGGTCACAGATCAAGGTCCGGGTGAAATCTTCTGTCAATGATAATCATATGTTCTTCAAACCGTAAACAGTTCTCAGTGGAGAATTTTTGTGTAAAGACAGTAGTAGCTGGGATTATAGTCATCTATTTATACGAACATACCACAAACATTACTGTGGTCCAAACTGTATCCTGTATCCGGCAAGTTAGTACTTCATTTGTACAAGAACACACATTTTTGTTCAATTACATAATACTTCAGTTCAAATAAAAGTTATTGTAGTTTGTATAGCATGTTTTAATTTTGCATTCAATATATTTGAACTATTTCAAATATTCTGGTTCTAGAAGATAACTAGAGACGTATATAACATATTCATGTACATCACTGATATAACTTTATAAAAACTACACATAAACCACAACACAGTAATGCAGACAAAATACATTATAAAAATCAACCAATAGATGTTTAACTTTTTAACTTTAATTCTTATCAACGCGACATGTCTCCTCTGTACTTTCAGGGACCTGGTACTTTTTAATGGTTTTATTCAGGAATAATATTTATATGGACACATTTACAGTAGTTTTAGAATCTATGCTTAGTTATATTACACTGTATGTCTTGTTTCAATTCCAAACCTCCTTTTCGGTATTTAAAAAGTCTGTTTTTGATATTGTTTATATAATCAACTGCTTCGAAATTTTCATTATTCAAATTTCCCGCGAAACTATAAAGAAGTAATCTCCCTTGGAGAGCTCTCTCACGATAACAAAATCATTTTGAGGATGCAGTTGCGGCAGATGAAAGGCGCAGAAAAGTGATTTTAACCGAGAATGCGAGACATGGTAGTATTTATGTACAACATTTGCTGTACGAATTTTTGGCGCAAAACATATACGTTCATAAAACGTATTGTTATGGGTTTCCTATACCTAACGGTCGTGATCTCGAGTTTCCTAAACTTCCGCAGATTTCTAGCATTTTAATGATTTTGTCATTGTGGGCAGTTCTGTACCAAAGACAGCTCCACGGGAACATGTTATAGCCTTGTCTACATGAATGTATTGACAAAACAGGCTAGTACACTGGGTTGATCTACAGCATATGTACACTTAACTATTTAGTCGCTATTTATCTTAGCGGACGTACCTGTTAGATAAATACAATTAGAAAGCTTGTCATGCTCGGTTTATTATGATAGTGTCATAGGTCCACTTTGTACATATTCCCTTTTTCCATTGTATAAGTCTATGATATATACTGATTCTGTAAGGAGATCTGATTATACGGAAGCATATACATAGTGTATCATGTAACAACACTTTAGTGTTTGTCCGTGGTGTGAAACATATGCTGCTTGATTTGTTAAACAGCGTTTATGTCAATCACACAGAGAATTGTTTACGTAGGCCAAGATAAAGGATGGAGTAATGCATGTGCTTACTGCACAACCATTGTAACTGTTTTCAAGAAATACAGGAAGTAAATTATTAGAGTTGTTGAATTGATAGAAATCACCATTCAGATATTTTTTTTTCTGTCGAGTTCAGATGTTATATATGAAACAGGATGGGAATTTGGACGGAGGCAGGACGCAACTTGGTATCTCTGATGCGTAGGTTTATTCAATTCCAATTCAAATAAAAAATTCACTATATGTTTTACACGGACAGCAAGATTTTCTTTAACAATACATTATTACTATAACAATACTTTAAAACATGACATATAGACAAAAAACCAGAATGACCTTGATTAAAATAAAATATATTGGCACAGAGATTAATTACAATTTATCTATTTCACAAAGAACGTTTCAGAATAAACTTTAACTTAAAGATAAACACATTATTATGATTTCATATATCTATACAAACTTACTCTGTCGAAACAACAACAACGGTTCCATGCCTTACTAGCATAGGTAATGGTCACACTATGGTACCTGATCTACTCAACCTAACAAAAAAGGAAAAATGCCTCATTGTTACTACAGTAACACACCATGAAAAGTAATACGATATCTGATACTTTTATAATAACAACATACCACTTAACAGTGTTGCATTTGCTTCAAATAGTTTATTAATAGATAATTATCAACATGGCTGACAGACTGAGTACATCTCACTGAGTTTTTAGATACAGAAAAACATAATAATCTGGATAACATAATTACACATATATTACTACTAATTGTATAAATGTATACAATTACTATTCATTAAATATATAAATACAATAAACTAATTTACAGCTACTATAACAATGTATGCCTGATATGGAATATAATAATATGTACCTCAGATGGAAGAGACTGGCTATGTCCAAGTGAGTAGTCTGGGCGGTAAAAGCTCCCAACTGCATGTACCAGGTGTTGAACAGATTTCAGGAATGTGGTCACATGACTGGTAAAGGTTAATATAAAAGGTCACAGGTGACAGGACATGCACAAGCACATGGCACATCACAATTGACAACACCAGTGTAGACAGTGATATGGGACTGGACTAATAAGACAATTAACGCAGACTAGACTTCTTACAATAAATAATGAATGACTTACAAAACTACAACTATTGCAGAATCCTGGACAGGTTGTCTCTGCCACATATGCATTAGCTGCGTAATTACTAGATACCAAGATAGGAAGGAATGCTTATGATCTCTATAAATTTTTTTTTGCATATCAGTGTAAATGAAAATTTACTTGTGCAGGGCCATGGAAATCAGGGATGGGAAGCCTAATGGATGATTGTCTGGTTACATCCTCGATACTCAATCAGTTACGATCACTACATCTGTGATACTCCAGGGGTTATGATCACTACATCTGTGATACACCAGGGGTTATGATCACTACATCTATGATACACCAGGGGTTATGATCACTACATCTGTGATACTCCAGGGGTTATGATCACTACATCTGTGATACTCCAGGGGTTACGATCACTACATCTGTGATACTCCAGGGGTTATGATCACTACATCTGTGATACTCCAGGGGTTACGATCACTACATCTGTGATACTCCAGGGGTTACGATCACTACATCTGTGATACTCCAGTGGTTACGATCACTACATCTGTGATACTCCAGGGGTTATGATCACTACATCCTCGATACTCCAGTGGTTACGATCACTACATCTGTGATACTCCAGGGGTTATGATCACTACATCTGTGATACACCAGGGGTTATGATCACTACATCCTCGATACTCCAGTGGTTACGATCACTACATCCTCGATACTCCAGGGGTTAAGATCACTACATCCTTGATACTTCAGGGGTTACAATCACTGCATCCTCAATACTCCAGGGGTTATGATCACTACATCCTCGATACTCCAGGGGTTAAGATCACTGCATCCTCAATACTCCAGGGGTTATGATCACTACATCCTCGATACTCCAGGGGTTAAGATCACTACATCCTTGATACTTCAGGGGTTATGATCACTACATCCTCGATACTCCAGGGGTTAAGATCACTGCATCCTCAATACTCCAGGGGTTATGATCACTACATTCTCAATACTCCAGGGGTTATGATCACTACATCCTCGATACTCCAGGGGTTATGATCACTACATCCTCGATACTCCAGGGGTTAAGATCACTACATTCTCAATACTCCAGGGGTTATGATCACTACATTCTCAATACTCCAGGGGTTATGATCACTACATCCTCGATACTCCAGTGGTTATGATCACTACATCCTCGATACTCCAGTGGTTATGATCACTACATTCTCAATACTCCAGGGGTTATGATCACTACATCCTCGATACTCCAGTGGTTATGATCACTACATCCTTGATACTCTAGAGGTTATGATCACTACATCCTTCGAAACTCCAGGGGTTACAATCACTCCTTTTTGAAAAAACAATGATAATACTAATAAATTGAAATGATAATAGAATTGTGTATCCGTCTAATGGAAAATTACTCATCTTTTTAATGCCTTTACGTTCAAAAAGGTTTTCTTCATATTATGGGCTGTAAGTTCATATGTAGTATAAGATACAGGAAAATATTCCAGTTATTAAATAAATGAAAATGAACAGGTTCCTTTCGAAATATCAGAAGTGAATAGAAATTATTTGTCACGAGAATTATCATATATGATTTCAAAACTAATCAGCTTTATATTGACTGTTCATTTTGAAAAGGTTAGTTAAAGTAATTTTGAGACAAATGGTATCTAAACACAGCAAGTCTGTTCAACTCAAAATCAGTTGCTATATCATTACAAAGAGATATAGGCAATCTCTTATTCCTCTGTACTAGGTGCACCTGACTCGTGCAATGAGGTCAATTTCTGTCTTGTCAAGGTTATCAACTTTGTCTTAAGATGCAAAAATGAAATGAAAATATTGTCAAATTGTTTGGTGTAACAAGTAAATATGGTAAAAAGTGTATACCAATGCAACATTATGGGTAGAAAACTGCTGGTAAGTGAAATTGAAAATAAAATATTGGCAATAGTTTTTCTTGTAACATAGTCATTAGTATGAAATATGAACGTGCATCATGACTGATGTATAAAAAGTCTGCCTTGCAGATATTATACAGCTTTGTTGTTTGTTCCACAGATGGACCTATAAATTAAAATTTGTATCCATTATTATGCTGTTTGATTACAGGTACAGGTTGAGCTTTTATCTTGGAGGTTGGTTTTCAGGACGCAAGAAAAGAAAATTACCTGGAAAGTTTATCATGAAGTTGAAATTTAAATGCTTACTGGAGACTTTAGCTGATATTGCTGCATTCAAAATGAAAAATATCATGAAAACTTAATCATAAATTTGCAATGACTAAAAGAAAATGTAAATCAGAGATCATTCAAATATTGATATTTGGTTACTACCATATATCAGATATTTGAAATGTGATGTCCCATTCAAATATGGACCTATTGATAGAATAATATTTTATTTTTCATTCCTAATAAATATGTAATGTAAGTTGATAAAATCAGGATTTACTATCATAAACAGACTCCTGTATTTCAGGATATCTTCAACTTCAGTCCTTTTGAACAGCCTGTCTTTTCTTGTTTAAAGACTGGTTTGATTTCTATATGTGTCTGTACATGTATGTGGTTATCAGACCAATTAGTTGAACCTTGACATTTAGCAATTTCAATTGTTAAATTACAAATGTGAAAGGTCAAACATACATGACATAGACATTTTTGTTTCAAAGTTAAGAGTCAATACTCATATATTGTGTCTAAAAATACTCTCAAGTGTCTACTGAATGCCATGGTTATATTACATTGATAATCATGATTATTATGTAGTCCAACTCTGGATGAATGAGGACTTGAGAGACCAGTCTCCTCATTTTGCGCATCTAATGAAATACGATAGATACTTTTATTTGTTGATGTGCTGTTTGGTAAGGTGTTTTTCAAGAAAAACATACTATTGTTTTTATCTTAACAAGCTATTGTATTGCAAAGAATTGTAACCATGTATTGAATTTTACTTTCCTTTATCAGCCTCCTGTCTATGTTTTTAAGGTGTGAATCTGATGTTACATGGACATGTCTGGGTTGAGAGATGAGTAAACATCAAGATTCTGTGATGTCGAGTTATGAACGTCTCTCAGTATGGCTTTTGGTGCCTGCATGTATTCTGTACAGCCTAGCCTTTGTGTCTCATGCCTGGTTTGAATTGCCGGGCGTTTTCTACGGTTTATGGTGGGCAGAATTTTGTGACTACCTTTCTTGTCAGATTATACCAGCTTTTTTCACCGAAGAACCAGGTACATGTTCAGTTGGTTATGTGAACATAAGTTAAGCTAAAGAAAGCACATATATTATGGACATTCATGTTAAATATATAATTGTTCTTTATTCAATATGAGGAATTCCCTAATGCTGCAACACCAAGTGTCTCATTGTAACTGAATGGATGTGGTACCGAGTCCGTCCATGCATAAAATGCATCAGCATTGCCATGATATGGACTTTGGTTATTGCATAATGAAAATATTTTCAACTCTCCCCCCCCCCCCCCCCCCCCCCCCCCCCCTTTTTTTTTTTTTTTGAAAATGTGTGTTTTAAAATGTTTTGTAGATGGAATGGAACACAAAAGTAATCACATTTTAAACATCAACATCTAAACTATGATGTTTAGATATAAATTTTGGAATTGTGACTGCACCATTTAATGTCCTTCATTTTGACTGTCATTATTTTCATTTCAGTATGGTACCACATTCTGCAATTAGTAAGCTTATTTGGAATGGTTGCTATGTCTGTGTCACTGGCACTGTTGGTATCCAAAAGGTGTGACTTCTTTATCCCAGACAAAATGAGGAGACAACAAACTGCATCAGCTATTGGATTGTCATCTGGTAAAAGTTTTATTTCCAGATCATTTCAGCTTCATCTGCAGAAATAATGATACTTCCATTTTTTGGTTGAATTATATAGATGATAAAGGGATATCTCAATATTTAGATATTGTAGATTATCTACATTTTAATGTCTTGTACATGGTACAGATTTGGGGCATTGTTCCATTAGAAGAAGTTATAACTCATAAGATCATCTATATACAGGCTTTTTTTCGTACATCATAAAAGATGTTTGATATTTCTCCTTCCAGTATTTGCTATATCCTTGGCGCTAATGATGTTCTATGGAAAACTTGATGAGTCAAGTCCACGTGCCAGTCCTCAGATCCATTGGTCAGCTGTCATGGCAGGAACAGCTTGCCTTCTCGAGTTTGGAGCAGCACTTTTGTTATTACAATCATAAAGAGACATTGTGAATATCTGTATTTTAAACGTTTATTATTCCATTCACTAACTGGTTAAATATATAAAGTTGAAATTGTTTGCTTTATATGAGCTTGAGAGGTAATACTATTCAGAATTCAGATGTTGTTTATATGAGTGAATCATAGATTAGAAATAAGTTGTGTATTTTTTTCAAAAGTAAATACTGAGATGGGATTCTGAAATATAGCTGTAGAGATGATGGATATGGAGGAGATAGTTTGTCACAATTGACAGAGTCTATGGCAGCCCTAAGAGAAAAGGGGAGGGGGAGAGAAATGGTTGTGATTGAGGAGAGTGGTAGTTGAGTTTTTACCCCATAACTGTCCGTCCATCCATCCTTATCTGCTTGAATTATTAGATCTGTCAACATAATCTTTGTCATGTTGTTTTTTTGTTTGACGTTAAATTAGTGTCACGTTGATCTAAGTTTTCATGAGTTAGGAATGTGATGTGTTTTAATACAAATGTGCTGTAATAGGTATTCATACGTTAATCCTTTGAAGATTATGGCTTTTTCCAGATTATAATTGTATAAGAAAGACCAATCATTGGTTCTGTTCCATTTTATGATAAATACTAGTCAGTATAAGACTTAATGAGTTATTTGTATAGGTTAATTTCTTCCATTTCTCTTTTTGTTTTATCCTTCCTTTTTTATGGGGATGGATGGGGGTAGAGGGGATATGAAGGCATACCCAATTTGTAAATTATTTTCGGTCATTGTTGTTTTTGCTGTGTTTAAATGTAAATGTTACAGTGTTACAGGAATTTTTGTCTTTTCTTGCGTATCCGTCAATTGACTGGATAATATATAACACATACATAAGACTGAAATATGATTTCAAGATAAAAGATGTTAATTTATCCTCAAGGGGTCAATCCATGATTGATTATTTTAAGATACTCCTGCACCTGTAATTAATATAAGAGGCTGCTTGTTTAGAAATTGGTGTTATTATACGGACTGCGACTTTTACAAGGCTGTCATAAATAACTTAACATGTAAACCTCTAACATTGTTGGAGTAAAATACTCCGATCTCTGCTGAAAATCATATCCTTTATCCAAGCCATCAACAAAAAATTCATGGATTGATGACAGGTGGCCATCTTGGATTTTGATAATGAAACTTTGCCATCGCTGTTTGTTGAGAAGCACAGGATGGATCTTTCTCAAATTCCAATTGTATGTTCCCCTTGGTCTCTAGTTGTGCCCTTATGATTTTGGGACTGATTTGGAACAGAAAATGGCAGACAGATGACCATCTTGGATTTGGCAGGTAAAAATTGTTATCGCTATTTCATATAATTAAGAGCAAAAGAAGAGAAAATAGGGGAAAACTTTGCAGAACAGATAAAGTTCAAACAATGGAAGGGTCCAAGATCCCTCTGGGATCTCATAATTGTCTAATGGGTGTACAGGGTCACAGTAGTTATCATCCTATAACCCCATAACTTCATGGAGAGATATTATTGGGGCTTTGATCAAGTGCATTTGTAGATGCAAAAGATGATGAAAAGTTATGAAATGTCTACTTGAATATGATAATGTAAACATTGCATAATATTCATATTATGGCCACCCATTAATTTGGTGTTAATGTGGATTGTAATCACAAGTGTGTAGATACATTCTAGATTACAAGAGAATGATATGACATTTTGTTGGTCAAGGTTTTGCAAGTTGCTTCAAAGGATATACATAAGAGTTTTATATCAATCATTAACATAGAAGGAAAAAGCTTTCATAACTTGTTCTAATAGACATGTTCATATTTTAAACTAATATCTGAAATGTAAATATGACAATGTCAGATTGTATTCATAATCAATATAATTGCAGTCTGGACAACAGATAAATTATCATTACATTAGGTTGGATTTAATTCTATCTCTCTATCTGTCTTCCAGATTGCATTAACATTGCCATCCTCGATACTACAGGGGCTACAATTACTTTCATTCCCAGCACCACTGGAACATGTCATGGCAAAATTGAAGATTCCATGTGCAACACCTTGTGGACAAGATGAAAAACACTAGTTTGTTCTTTTGATGTACATCAAACGAATCTCAAGTTTGCATAATTGTATAATGGTATCGCTTTGAAGTTGGGTGTCAGCCTTAACAATCTTCAAAAGGAGCATATCAGCCTGTCATTGGTCAGATTTTTTCTCCTGAAACCAATCAAATTACTTTGCTTGTGACTTTAATTTTGCCATGACATGTCCCTGGGGTGCAGATTGTGAAAGTGATTGTAACCCCAAGAGTATGAAGGTTGTCATTTTGTCAATAAACATTGTTTAGTGATTGATTAATTATGTCACTTGTACCTTGTAAAATGACCTGATCAAAATAGTTTAATTTGATACCTGTCTGTATCTTCTTTGTGTTAACATGTAATTTTAACGTAATCATTTGAGAACAGGGCAAAGAATAACATCCAGTTGGCTGATCGACCTTAATTTTGATGGTGCAGAACTTTTGTACATCCTATGTAATCTGTCAGAATAATGAATTGTTTATATATAATATAGTTTTACTATCATATATTAGAAAGTATTCTGTCAGATTTTTAAGATCAAAATTGGTCAAACGCAATGTGCAGGTGTCTTAGCTATTTTACATTACTTGAGATAATAGAATTGATGTAACATGCCATTGCTAGAAGTCTGGAAAACCTATATTGTACTTTTTAATGTCAGATATGCTTTAATATTATTTTAAGTTTCCTTTTTGTTTATATTGAAATGTTGTATTACTGATTTGGTGCTAATGAATATCAAATGAACTTTATTATTTGTTGAACTTACAAAATGCTTGCTTTCTCATTATTACTTCAATAATTGCTTAATCCTACAATTTTAGATTTACATTTTGATGTATGTATTAAATCCAAGATTTTGCTCAGAGGCAAGAATATGTAATATCTGGTTGTGCTCTGCTCCTGTAACAGAAGAGGCCGCTGGTCGGCCAATTTATTATCTAACCTTATTGTACTGACTACATGGCACCTATCAATAGTGTCTTGCTGTGTATACCTTTAAGTTAGCTGAAGCATTTGTGCACCTGAGTCAGCATCTGGTGCTCATTTATCAACTTTTTAACACAGAAATCTTTAATGGATTGTGACCAAATTTAATATAGAGCATCCCAGGGCCAAGTTTGCAACATAATATCATACGCAATATTCAGTGTTGCCAACTCACCTGATTTCGTCAGGTCAACCTGATATCAAAACAATGTTCAAACATAACATAGAACATTTTCTGAATTCATGTTGCAGATGTGATAACTATTCAGTAGAATTGACCATAAGGTCATAATACCCAGTGACACTAATCTCCTTCCAGTGCTTTTCAAGCTCATTTTTATATATTATATCAATAACAACAGAATTCTGAAGGCACACATTCCTCCTCATTGCGTTATTTTGTCAAAGAAAATTTACTGCACCAAAGATATATTTATTCACAGTAATTGTTGACCTGCCATAAGCTGTTCAAATCCCCTTGCATCTGCCGTCCATCAGCCTGTCCTTAAACATTCCTTGTTTTGGCTATTTCTGGAGAATTACTTGACGGATTATTTTCAAATTTGATATGTAGCTTCCTCTAGGCCATAGTCGTGCATTGTCCTATTTTCAGACTGATCGATAAAGCAACATTCTCCACAGGCTGACTGGAAGAAATCTTGTATTTTGACAGTGATGGTATGTTATAGCTATTTATGGAAAAATGTGGATGGATCTATTTAAAATTTCATATGTATAGACCTCTTGGTCCCTATATTTGCATGGTCACATTTTCGGACTGATCTGAAAAAAACACATGGTTAACAGGTGCTTGCTTCGATTTCATATCTAGGTTCAATTGGGTTCCTCGTGCTGTTTGATTTTGGAATTGATCAGAAATTAAAAATGGCTGAAGGGGACCATCTTTGATGACTAAGAAAGTTTGTTTCCACTATTTCTTGAGAAGTACTGGATTGATCTCACTCAAATTTCATGTGTAGGCTTTCCCTGGTCCCTAATTGTACCCTTTTGATTTTGGGACTTATCAGATAAACAAAGTTGCTGACTAGTGGTCTTATTTGGATTTGAAAATCAAAGTTTTTTTATTGCTTTTTCTTGAGAAGCACTGGATGGATCTTTCTCAAATTCAATTTGTATGTTCCCCTTGGTGCCAGTTTGATTTTGGGAGTTATCGGAGAAGGAAAATGGCCGAGAGGCAGTCATCTTGGATTTTAACAAATAAAGTACTAGATGGATCTCGCTCAAATTTAATTTGAAGATTCCCCTTGGTCCCTAGTTGTTTAGACTGATTAGAAAACAGAAATGGTTGACAGAGGATCATCTTGGATATTGCAATTGAAGATTATTATCACTATTGGTAGGATTGATTTCTACATTACATCTAAATAAAAGCAAAAACAGAGGAAAGGAGGGAAAAGAAGGGCAAAGGTAAAACTTTTAAAGAAAAAATATGGGCCCCAAGATCCTGCTCCTGCTGGGATGTTGTCTTTTAAACAACATTCTTTTAATAAAGTGTGTGAGTACAGTGTTATCGAAGTGTCATTGATAGAGGATGTATCACAGTCAGAGGGCAGGGGCCAAATAATTATCTTTAAAGTATTTTAAATCAATTAAGCACTTTTGACAAAATGGTAGTGTTAAACCTGGTGTGTATGCATTATACATCCGTTAGAGGATATAATGAGCAAATTACATACTGTTTCAATGGATTTGAATTCTAAATCAAATATAAACGAATCTCCGGGCACAGACCTACAACACTCATTTATTTCCACAATTGTATATAGTCCTCTGTACATTTAGACTGTTATGAGACTGTTTTCTCGCTCTTTAAAGACCTCATACAGAATGATGGACATATAAGCTTAGTACCAACAAATGCATCATGTATATATTGCATATCAGGATATGTGCCATTATGAACCAAAATATAACCATCTCAGTCCCGTATGCCTCTTGTTTGAATTTTTTAAATAAAAATGTTTTATTTGAACAAATATTTAGTGGGGTTTTTTTTTCAAAGATTACCCATTTAGATAAAAGATACTGTTATCATTTATCTCATCAAAAATCGAAAGAAAAGTGAAGTCTCGTTCGCCTAATAGTATAACGAGAATCCGGATATTTCTTTCCGTCAACCGATTAATTTTTATATGTTTAATCCAGAACGAGGCATCCCGCGAAAATCGGTTCCCGGCAAAACAACAGGGATGATGTTTACAATTTTAGATAGACGATCTACTGGAGAAAAACTCACCAACAGGGGTAAATAATAAGTGGCATAGGTTTTATGGAATATTTTTTTTTATATATTTTACAATTTTTCCCATTTGAAACGTGAAGATCTCTATTGTATAGAAAAAAAGGAAAAGTCCGGTATGAGTCTCCCTCGTGCCAATTTTAGGTCAGCTGAGACCCATGCACATACATTAGCTCGATGCTATATTGTGTGCTGGACCTTGCATGATATTTCACAAGTTGATAGAAACGAGCTTCGAAGTTCCGAGTTGCAATAATAAAGGAGCAAGGACATCGCACATTACATTGAAAAAAGGCCCATTGGATCGCAGACAGCTGGTTGACCCAAGCTAAGTGTATCGTCGTATCGCACTGTACTCTATGATAATATTTATATAACATTTATCATTCATCAATAGTCTTGTTGATTTTTAGCCTACCCGAAAGTTTTTGGCAACTTTAAAAGTTAGTTCTCCATACATGTACTTAGTAAAATCTATAAGCATTAAGTAAGATCCCCTGACCGTCCTAACTTGTTTTCTCAAATTCCAACAGTCATTTAGCAGAAACTTGTGAAACCGGTAGTGTGTAACCAAAGAGCTGTCTTTTAATGCAGTAGTTCGTGAACTTTGAGCAAGGTATTGAGTTATGTCCAGTCAAAATGATGTGTTTGAACAGCTTTTCTTTTTATGTTGAATATTCCATGAATTTACACTAATAGCAATTAAACATTTTGTAAACATATAATAGCCTGAACCATTTGTTATATGTCAAAAGTTTAAAACAATATTGACCATTTGAAGTCAAAATTCCTATAAAACACAATAGATTGACCAGATTAATGAATTACCATAATGAAAATTTACAGAAGATTGGTGAAAAACCAAAGGTTATCAACTGTGGTGGCAAGATCTGCTGCTCTACCAAGCAAGCTGTTATTATCCAACAAGACTGAGTGATTGACATGAATAATGTATTCATGCAATATTTGCATTGAGTTTTCTTGGTTTTCTTATCAGGATCAAGACATCAGATTAGTGGCTTGACCAAAAAGAATTTGATATTTAGTGTGTAAATTGAGAGAAAAGATATTGAATTACATTAGGTATGTTAAATTGGAAACTTGCTTTCATTTCCATTTCATATTGATATTTGTAAAACGTTGCCAGTGGTTTGGCTGAATTGAAAACTCTTTGACTTGTCATATAAATGAAAACTTTTGCAAGATTCCCTATTTTTCTTACTTTATGCATTAAAATGTATATCATATCTACGGATATACTGCGATACAAGAATATTCCGTAAGTTGTCCCAATGTTAAGTTGGATGTATACATAACATTGATCTATGAGTGAATTTTATACATAATACAAAGGTTTTGTCTATTATGTAGAATAAAATCTTAATACTGCTTTTGTTATTGCAGGTTTCAACACACATATTGACACATCTGCCCTTATAGAATGTATGGAATGCTACAGGACAGACGAATACTTAATTGTTGGTTCTGATGATGCGGTGAGTTTACAAATTTGAAAGGATTATTTGTGTACATGTATCTTAATTCTTCTTTAATTATCAAAGATAGATGATGTATTGCTGATACTCTAAATGCTGTAGATTTAAAAGGTTCTATTTGCCAATTAAATTTTTACAGTGAAATTTTGATATATTCATTAGTAGCCCTAAAGTAAAAGGTGTCTAGCTCATGGCCTTTGGTTACTAGATAGTCGAATTGTGTTTCCTTTGTGTTTGCATTGAGCTTCTACCAATAAGGCAATTTTTCGTGTGATCTAGTTTATATTTACAATTAACAAACAATCAAACATATCTTTACTAACTAAGCTATGTGCATCTAAAGTGAAAAATGACCATGGCGGCATTTCACCATCTTGATTGATAGATATTGCAACAATTGTTGAGCCAATGGAGAGATTTGGAAAGAAGAATTGCATACAAAAAGTCCTGTTTGTTATGCCATTGGAGAAAATTATTGTATATATACAGCAATTTGTTTATAGGTTTTAATCTTGTTTCCATGGAACGACACTGAAATCTGTTCATAGAATTTCTTAACATTCTTGTATGGAAACAGAAATCACTATCCAAAGTTTTTCTTTTGTCATTACATTCATATAGAATTAATTGACATTCTTTATCAGAGGTTTGTTATATTTTGTAGGCTCTTGTACCACCAATTGCCTGTGAATTTTCAAGTAAGTATTGCTGTAAAGTAATCTAAATACAACATGATGTATATTCTCACTTTCTTTAAATATGACAGAATGTTGATCATGAGCAGAATCTTGAAAGATTAAAGACTGATTTTATTTTTGTCACAGTCCTCTATTAAGATACCTGCCTTGTGAATAATCTTCTAATGATGTTTTTCTTTGTTGTAGAAAAAGGCCAGGGGAACATCCTAGCAGTGGTAGATGAGAGTGGAGGCACCATCATCCAGGATACCAACAAGACAGGCCAACATGCTCTCCTCACTGGTAAGACTGATATGTTAGCATTTTCTATGTAACTCCACAATGTTACCCCACCTTTGTGAGTATTGTTGATCTCATATTAACTTGTCTATTACATGACAATGCTCTCTAAGGACTACTTAAAATTATCTTTCTGGTTGGCATTCAACAACCTCGGTTACATAGTTCCATTAAGATCAAGTGTCACAAGAAAGTGAAATTGACTTTTTAGGTCCGACTACTTGTATTTTTTACATGTTCCTGAATCAGTCTTATTCCTGGCAATAACAGAGGAGAGTTTTACATATCTCAAGGTCATGACAATGGAATCATTTTATCTGACAGCATAAACATATAAAACAGCAGTTAAAGTTATAAATTGAAATGTTTAAAGATTGAGTATCAGATTAGGGTACTGAATCGAATGCTCCCAAATCATAGCAAAACTCTTCCTGGAGGACAATAAGTTACCTAATTACATTCTGATTTTTAACAAATTACAGAGTGGCAGGCCCACAGTAATGCTATTTTTGATCTGGCGTGGGTTCCCTTAGAGAACAAACTGGTGACGGCATCAGGAGATCAGACTGCAGTCTTATGGGATGTGCCTAGAGCAGAGAAAATGGATGTGTTTAAGGGTCATACCAGTAGTGTCCGGACTGTAGCATTCAGAAGTGATGACTCGGGTAAACATCTTGCTTGATTAAAAGGCTGTACTCTCAGTCATTTGGTAGATAATGTTTTGATTTCAGGGCATAACAACTAAAAAAATCCTCCTTAGAAGCATGCATTCACTTTCATTTGTCACAAAATTATGTATGATACTATTCTTTACGCAAACTGACTGGTAGTAGTTGTTATTGAACAGCACAATTATTTTTGTTGTGGAAAAATACTGAAGGTGCTATTTTCACTATAATTTTTGTCACAGTACTGCTAATATTCTTTTGTCATGATTCATAAAACTTGGTACACATGCTCAATACCTGAGACACTTGTGTTCAATGTTGGAGCAAAAATTATATTAACTTGTTAACCGTTCTGTGATCTATTATTTACCCTTTCAGCTGTGTTTGCAACGGGCTCCCGAGATGGACATATAATGATATGGGACACCAGATGTAACAGAAAAGGTATTAATTCTTTCTGGAGAGGTGCCTTATTTTGTTTGAGCAAAAAGTGTAAGGTTTATTTAAGTAGAATATGTTTCCCTCCCAATACTCCAAGTTATGTTTGATTGAACCATCCATAGAATTCAAATGATATGTAATTAATAGGCAGGGATCCAAACTATGGACATAATTGGTTTATATTTGGAGTTCAGGGATCAAGGAGATGTTTTACTGGAATAGCCATAATCAATCAATCCTTTGCCTCCTGCTTTCCCAGATCAGTGTCATCACTCCACTCAATTTATTTCTTTGAAATTTTTGGTAAAGATCAGGCAAAGATTGAGTATCAGAATACCAGTTTAGTTTCACGATCACTTACTACATAATTAAAAAACAAAAATTTCATTTTAAAAAGAAAATATGAAGAAGATTTAGATATTAAGAACTGATGTAAGAATGATATGCTTTGTTTATATCTGAGGATGAAAAATAAAGATCTCGGGTATCTCAGGAGGAAAAATCAGGATGTTGAAATAAGTTGTTCTGATGTTAATTTGCAGGGATTTTAGAGATGAATGAAGAAATGATTCCTTTACAATATATCACTTGTGACATATTGCTTGGTTAATTTAATTTGTTTCCTAAAACTGATTCAAGTGTTTATTGTGACATTACCTGTCAGAACAATGTTTAGAAAATTTATTGAAAGATAAATGTGTGGTTTAGACTTCACTGGACAAGTATATGAATTTACAAATGAATACTATCATGGAATGGAAAACTTGTGTTATAGATGTAATGAAGAAGAGTGGTGGGAATTGATTTAAAAAACAGAATCGGTCTTTGATATCAACATTGATCTGTCACAAATCTGCAAAGATGTTTTTACTTTGCCAATATTTTTAATAGTTATTCACCAATTACCTTAATGGTTTGCTGGAATATTTGAAAATTAGAGTTGACTGAAGTCTTTTTCCTGTTGGATACTGAATGAATATAAGTAGAAGGTACTTCAATATGGTAAAAAGATCTAGTAGTTTATGCTAGATCAATCAGAGTAGACAATTCGGAACCTTAGAGATATCTTTAGTGGTGTTGATTGCTATGTACTATTTGGTTTGATGCATCCTTTGTAATGCTTTCAGATGGATTTCTGTCACCTGTAAATACCATACATAATGCTCATGCATTACAACAACTTAGTACTCGAAAGGCCCGACACAGACAAAAGCTTGGACCTGCCAGGGTAAGGAGTTGCTGTATTATTGCTGATATTAAAAGGTTTTAAGATCTATTAAAAATTTTGCCCTTGTAATTCTATGTACAAATACCACAGGAAATTGCTCATTTGTATAAATGCATATAGAGGATTACTTTGTGTAGCTAGATAAAAATCTAGTTTTGCTGAAAAGGATAACATCAGTTCACAAAGTGAAAAAGGATTCTCTCTGACAAATCTGATGTAAGGTTTTGTTTCTCAATTGTAATCTGATTCTGCAATGTACATAAATATTCAGGGTCATTCAAGAATAATGTTGTAAATGTTTGAATGTGACTATATTTAACAGAATTTGTAGTAGTTTTGCAGAATATACGGAACAAGGCATTGGAAAATACTTGTTATATCATAAGATTTCATTCTTACAGGACAGTCAGCAGAGTGTTACAGTAGTGACATTTCAAACAGACACCACACTAGTTTCAGCTGGAGCAGTGGATGGGTAAGAAGTTTTCAACCATATCTGCGTCTTTTAGAATGTTATTTATAGTGCATTATAATCATTGATTTTGCTTTTATTATTGTAATGCTATCTAGAAGTAGAATATTATTTTTAGTATAATTAAAGGAGTTATTTAACAGTGTTATCAAACATTTCCCGAGTTTATTTATTGTAAAATAAATGTAATACCTTTTAATGAATTTAACATCGATTTGTATCTACTACTCGTTTAACGAGAAGTTTTGAGGTAGAACAAGTTCTAGTTCACCTATTCTCATTTTAACGTGTCTGGGCTGGATGTCCTGTAGGGGCATTTAGCAGTATAATAAAGAGCAGTGGCATTGTAAAGTTAATTTCACCTTGGTACTATCACTTAGAGGTTTCCATCAACATATAGCTTCCCACAGGGACATGCACTCTCTTGACCTATGTAAGGTTTCCACCAACATATAGCTTCCCACAGGGACATGCACTCACTTGACCTATTTAAGGTTTCCACCAACATATAGCTTCCCACAGGGACATGCACTCACTTGACCTATTTAAGGTTTCCACCAACATATAGCTTCCCACAGGAATATGCACTCACTTGACCTATATAAAGATGCCATCCTTAAATGATCATAGCTGTCAATGTGATTTAAACAAGACGAAACTAAACAATTAACAGAGTAATTATAATTAATCACACTCTCACTGTAGTATTAAGCAAAACTGTCTTGAATTGCATGCTGTAAATGTTGTTGTCATGCATAGTAGGAAAGACTACCTGGTTGAGTTTCACCTTGGATAGTTCATGTATGTTTGACAAACTGATATGAAATTTTGTAGGTGTGTGAAGTTCTGGGACCTACGGAAGACTTACAGTCTGATGACCTCCACACCTGAGGCAAGACACACTATCCCTTACAGTGGTACAAGTCAGCGAAAGCATGGTCAGTAACAGTAGTGTCCTTAGATCTCTCACCCTGCCTTATAGGGGTATCAGTAAGAGAAATCATGGTCAGTAACAGTATTGTCCTTAGATCTCTCACCCTGCCTTATAGTGGTATCAGTCAGAGAAATCATGGTCAGTAACAGTAGTGTTCTTAGATCTCTTACCCTACCTTATAGTGGTATCAGTCAGAGAAATCATGGCCAGTAACAGTAGTGTCCTTAGATCTCTCACCCTACCTTATAGTGGTATCAGTCAGAGAAATCATGGTTAGTAATAGTAGTTTCTTAAAATTCTGCTTAAGAAGATTTGTCCTATTTTGATATGAAACCTTACAAACTAATTATTGATCACTCAAAAAACTTTTTAATGAATCTTAACTACTGTTGCCAGGGTTTACTAGCCTCACTATGGATACCTACAGGAGCAGCCTCTTTGCCAGCTGTACAGATGACATTGTGTACCAGTATGACATCACAACCATGGAGCCTAGACTCAGTAAGTACTCTGTTGGCAATGGCCCATATAACATCCATTTTGAAATTCTTCTTTTTGTTTGTAATCTGACCAATCAATGAAAATTAGATTAAAACACATTTAATGGTGTTTTTTGTTACAAAATTATTTTAAGAGTGGCAGCAAAAAATAATATACCTTAGATACAGCTGTTTAGTATTATTTATATTAGATTAAGATTTTGGTCCGCAGCATCATTGATGTCAACATTGTATTACAGTGCATCAGTATAAAGGTCACAGGAACAATTCATTTTATGTAAAGACCAGCATCAGTCCTGACGATCAGTTCCTTCTTAGTGGATCATCTGATGAGATTGCACACATCTGGCAGGTAGATAAAAGACTTTTTGTTTTAGATTTGAACCTGTGTATAACTTGCTTTGTTTATTGCTTGACCATTATGAGATGGTAAGCTGTTTCATCTATAATCTGTAGAACAGAAAATAGAGAATCTGAACTTTTTCAGGTTCCCTCTTTATTAAAACATTATCTAGATGGGAAAGATGAAATGTATTAATTTTGTGTAATGAGAATGTACCATTTGATATTGTATTTACAGGTTGGTAAACCAAACCGAAGTCCGATCGTACTGAAGGGACATAAAGCAGAAGTGTCTGATGTAGCCTGGTCACCAAATGATCTGAGCAAGGTTTGTGATTTATTGTGGAAGATGTTGAACACTAGAATGTCAAAGTAGTTCATAAGAACAACAATGTAATGTTGGTACTGACCAATCAGAACAGTGTTTTCTGAGAATGTAGCTGCAGTAAAATCACCTGTTTTATCGTTGAGTAACAAGTAACGTAGGTATTGACCAATCAGAACAGTGCTTTATGAGAATGAAGCTGCAGTAAAATCACCTGTTTTATCGTTGAGTAACAAGTAACGTTGGTTCTGACAAATCAGAACAGTGCTTTATGGGAATGTAACTGCAATAAAATCACCTGTTTTATTGTTCAGATGCCAATGAGATTAGTTATTCATTTTACTTCAACTTTATTGCCATAAGCTACAGTTTTTGGCAAGTCTACTTTTCAAACAGATCTATAACCAGTTTTGAGCTGAAGAAAATGGAGCTGTGTGATGTATTTAGAATGTACAACATGAAATGTTCACTCTGGTTTCATTTCATGTGATTTAACCAATAAAATTTGTTCTATATTTTTATTATCAGTAGAAACTTTTCTGGTTTCTAGTTGATTATCATATATCACTGATGTGACAGAAACATATGTTTCCAATAATTTGTATACTTTATTAACTTAAGTTGGGGTATATATTATATGTGGACATGAAATTTGAAAAATGGATAAAATATCAGAAGACAGTGTGTCGTATACTAAAATGAGGTCACTGCAACCTCTACTTGACATAGAAAAAAAGAGAGGAAAAAAATTCCAGAGCATTTCTTATGTTAATGTTTTTTATATGGACACTTAGAGAAAAGGTACAACATAAGTGGGTAGTGTGTCGCTTACTAACAGGAAGTCACCCTGGCCTCTATTTGACCTTTGAACTTGACTGAATATTTGAGTGGGAATGGTGCGGGGGGGGACCCAGAAAAATTCAGGTTTCTGGAGCACAACTCAATAATTATTTATGTATGGACATCAACATGTACAAAATGTGGTGTGTTGCATACAGATGTGAGGTCACTGCTACATCTGCTTGACCTTTGACCTGAATGTAAATTCTTAGACAGCATTATACATGTTTCTAAAGAATATCACTGCTGTTGTTTCATATATGGTCTTTCTGTGAAGTAGAAGATATTTGGAATGTGGAGTACCCATGAAACATTGACATGCTTCAAGTTAAATCTAGTATCCTGTCATTCTCAAAAATATAGTATTGACAGAAAACTACCGTTTCCAATACATCATTTATGTACGGAATAGGTCTTGACATTTTTGATGAAAACTTCTGAATATACTTTGAAAACATTTCAGTTGGTGACATTATCTGACGACAACTCCTTCAGGGTATGGAGAATTAACAGAAGACTATCCCTTCCTGATCAGGAGGAGGTGATTGGAACAGCAGAGAGAACTCACAGGGAAATAGGTATTTTTCTTTCTAAACTAGAGATTTACAATATTTCATTTGTGGATTTGTATATAAAGGACCTAATATCCTGAAAATATCAACATATAGACACTAGATGATACACCTTGTAAGTTTATAATGTTGTCATTTCCAATGTACATATATAATAAGGAATGTGCCAATTGGTGGTGATCTCACCTTCACTATCAACCAGCCTACTTTGAATGTTTTCATGGTCATATAACTTACCTTTGCAAGATTTCAGCGGATATAGATTTTGATGTAAAATATCATTAGTAAAATTTTAATTTATTTCATAAACATTTTAGAAAATTCTGGTCTAGGTAAAATTTTGTACAAAAAGGTCTTTTATACTGTTTGTTGAATTTTTTCAGGTACTTCAGCTAGACAACCAGAAGAAAAAGAAAACAAAGAACAGAATTTACCAGTGATAAAACTTTCTGCCGGAGAAAAACCAAATAAAACTCCTAAGCTGAAAAAGACTTCATCTGCTGAAAATTCACCTGGCAATTTAGCAAATTTCTCACCCTCAATCAAACATTGGCTGAGTGGAAAGAAAACTCCTTCTTCCAAAGTTCCTGTTAAAGATGATTTACAAACAAGTTCAAAATCTGAGAGAAAAAGGCCATGTAAGAGAAAGCTAGTGTCAGACTCACCTGATCCAAATCCTTCAAAACGACAAAATGTGTTGCAAGATCTACAAAGCCCACACAAAAGTGCCAGTCCAACTATTGCAGCTTTCAGGAATGAATATGGAGCATACTCCAAATCTCCTGTAAGAAATAGTCCTCAAAAATGGAACAGTCCACAAAAATTCAGAAGTCCAAGAAAAATACAATTAAACTTCAACAGTCCAAAGAAATTGAATTTTGACAGTTCCCCAGCCAGTCCCAGTAGTTCTAGTTTGAACAAAGAAAGTCCAAGGAAATTAATAAGTAATCAAGTTTTGAAAATGCCTCTGCAGTGCATCACCAAACAAACTGCGGTAACAGCATCACCTACTGCTGACCTTCCAAACCTTGTTTTATCTGGACAAGTGAACCGTGTTAATGTATGTTACCCAATGGGAAAGGAGAACAGCCCACAGAAAGGCACACCTCCTATGAACTGGTTAACTCAGATACGTCAACAAAAGTTGGGGAAGGAAGGAGAAACAAGCCAGAGGCTGAAATTTAGTCCATGTAGAAGCCTGTTCTACAGCAGTACTTATTGTTCACCCACTCCAACTGCAGAGAACAGCCAATCAAACTGTCAGGAACCAAGTCAGAACAGCAGTCAATCAGAGGAGGAACCAAAGGTGGGTGTAGCCTTAAAAATTTCATTGCCTAAAATGTTTACATGATGAAGATATATTGGAAAATCAAATTTCATCCAGGTCCCTAGTTGTGCCTGTTTGTTTTTGGTACTGATCAGAAAAAGAAAATGGCCAACAGATGGCCATCTTGAATTTTGATTTTGAAAGTTTGTCAAAAATGACTTTAAGGTGACTATCTTGGATTTGGCAGGTAAAGATTTTCATCACTATTTCTGCAAAGGGATGTTTAAATTTCTTATCATTAAGAGTAAAAACAGAGAGGAGAAATCAAAGGAAAAGATCCAACTTTCAAAGAGCAAATAAAGATTGATCAATGGTGGGCACCAAGATCCCTCTGAGATCACTTGTCCTTATATGGTGGTAAAAAATTTTGATGGGATGTATTATGGTATGGCATTATTCATCCCTCTGTCAGTCATAAACGTTTATTTGTTCTGTGATCCCCTACAGTTTTCAAATGATCATTTTTATAACGTAGGCTTATTCACCATGACATGAAATTGTGCTTTAATGAACAGAAAATTGATTCGATTGTATTTTGAAGAGTTACTGCCCCCTGTAGTTTTCACAATGTTAATCTTGTCCAGAGACCTAGTTTTCAACAAATTTTTTAAGGAGTTACAGCTCTTTTTTGTTTCCGTAAAGTTGATTGTGAGTAGAGATCTCCTATCTTAGGCTAAATTGACAAAAAATATAATACTCATAAAACAAACAATCTTTATTGACTATCCAAAATGTTTTCTTATCAGTTTTCCGTCAGTGATGCGAAATGAAAACAAAATTGCCTGGTATACTTCTTTGTGCTACACAAATGCCTACAGTTATGGAGTTTGACACAAAGTAGCTATACCTTATTACTTGCTTATGTATATGTCTTATTACTTCATATTTTTTTGTTTACAGACACCAGTCAGAGGTATGAAGTCTCTGAGGCATTATTTCCAACCTCGTCCATCTCCAAAAGTGGATCCTGTGGGGTGACCAGTATCTCCTGTCTGTATTATTTCTGTATCACTACCAACATTGCCAGTAGTCTCAAAATACGCAAATAAAGCTGAATCTGGATTATATTGGCTGTGAATGAAATGGAACAATGTAGGACTTGATTCAGGATTCATGAATGACTGAAATGTTTAATGGATTATTTTTATTGCTTTACAACGTGTAATATTTAAGTAAAATAGGAGAGTTTATTTTTTATGGTTTACATGATATACTTAACTTGATTTTCTACTTTTTGAAGAAACCTTTTTAAGGATGTGTTGGAAAAATTACGTTCAAAACAATCATGAAAATGATCAAATTAACAAACTATTGTCCTTAATTCTTAATCTTGATTTGTATATGTACATTTATCTGGTAGACATGTATTATAAATTAAGAATAAATTGGAGCAATAACTGGATGGCCTGGCTGTTTCATTCATATCTGTAAATTAAACCTATTATAGTGCTGTCCAAAGGGGAAACAATAAGTTTAGAATATATACTAAAAGGATAAAGAAACACATGGTGAACTTTAAACCAGAAATTAAGTATGATATCGGGCTTCATTTAAAACGAAATTTTGTGTACTTACAGATAAATTAAAGCCTAAAAATTTCCAAAGTCTGTATTTTGCATTTGACAATTGATTTAGAGGTACTAACGATTAAATTGAATGGACCCATAGGATTTTGAAATTGAACTGAGTCATCAATATCTTGTGTGTCCGCCGTTTGCTGTGGTCACGGCCCTTATTCTTCTGGTCATAGAGTTCATGAGAGCGTTAATCCGTCTTATGGGGATGTTGTCCCACTCTTCAATCAGCTCTGGTCAACTGCTCTCAAGTAACAGGGGGTGGCTGGCGCTTGCGAACCTGTCTATCCATCTGGTCCCAAAGATGCTCGATCGGGGACAAATCAGGGCTAAATGGCAGCCAATCTAGTGGTTGAATGTTGTTGTTGGCCAGAAAGACTTGGCAAATCCTTGCTACGTGGGGCCTAGCATTATCCTGCTGGAGGGTTAGATTATGCTGCTGTAGGAAAGGGATAACATGTGGTCGGAGGATCTCATCTCTATACTTAGCTGCTGTTAAATTGCCATCAATAACAACCAATTGTGATTTTAACTCGTTTGAGATTCCTCCCCACACCGTTACTGAACCGCCCCCAAACCTATCCCTCTCTACAACGCAAACGTCCGTAAAACGTTCGCCACGACGTCGGTAGACACGTTGACGACCGTCAGATCGATAAAAACAGAATCGTCGAGCAGGGGTAAGGTGTGGACCTACGTAGGGGCGACGTGCTCTTACACCAACTTCTCGTAATCGATTCCTTACAGTTTTTGAACTTATAGGAACGCCCATGATTTCCACGAACATTAAGTGCACTCTCAACGGCAGTAAGGCGCCGATTACGCACATGAGAGACGACGATATAGCGATCCTGACGTCCTGACCTAGGTCGATCGGCCAATCGCCCAGTTTCCCGAAGACGTCTTACAAGACGTTCTATGGTGGAAACATTAACACCAAAGTGCTTAGCAACCTGATTTTGCAGCTGTCCTTGCATCAGCATCTGGATGGCCTGACCCCTCTGAACTTCTGTGAGTCGTGCCATTCTTAAAACGAATCAAATTCTCAGTTAAATTTAAGGAAGCAGTTGGTCTGTAAAAAGACTAACGAAGAGTGACTTGACCAACGCTGCATGAGACCAGAACAACAGGGTGCACGAGATTCTTGTTTTTTCCTTCCTCCATTTACCAGAGCTGCGCACTGTACCGTGACTAAATTTTCGATACATGACAAGTTGTAATATGACCTAATTACTCAATCCACAAAGTTTCACTTTATTTGGAGAACGCGTTTTCAAAATATCGGAATAAATATTACCCTGCGTTTCTTTATCCTTTCAGTATATTACTATTGGTGATATTTCTTGTCTAATGTCCTTTGAAATTGGGTACGAAATGTATTCATGATGTTTCCTTGGGAAGGCGGGTGTCCTGTACTAGAAGTAGATGACTGTCACATTTTGACTTTTAATGGTTTGCTAAAAGGCCGTAATATTGGACATAAATCAATGAAATAATTTCATTAGACAAAAATATTCTATGAGCATTATTGTATACTTTTGGAAGATGAGGGTTTTGTAGGCATTTCTGGCATATACTTTTTGTATGATCTATTTGTAATGTACCGTGCATATGATCTTTAAAACATGAGGGTGGCAGTTACATTTTTGGTCACTGAAAAATCATAACCATTGACATACACATGTCAAAACTGCATGTAGTGTAGTTCCAGGGGTATATCGGGAGTACTGTTACACGTGGGATTTTCTGATTAATGTTCAATGTTTGACTGTTAAGAGAAAAAAGGTACCAGGGTATGTCGGCTTTAATACAGGAAGAATTTGTATGTGGGCATATTGTAGAAAGAGGGATTGTTGAGCACCAGAATTTGATCTATAATTGATGTATGGCATCTTTCCAGAGACAATTCTAGAGTATTTAATGTTAATTTGAAAGGGATTCCATAGAGGCATGTATGTCTTCTTGTACCCATAAAAGCTTGACATAGAACCTTTCAAATGTGAAATAAAACAATGTCTCAGAAACGGAATCAACTACGATGCTTGCAGTTCTATTGTATAATATGAATTTTTTTATAGCTTAATATAGTAAAATGTTCAGGGTACACTTATACTCACCAGTCCGAAGTGATCTTATGTCATGGTGTGGCGTCCGTCTGGCCAACATCGACTTTTCCTAAACAGGCCCTTTTGACCTCTTGTTAGAAAATTTCGATCGTATAAGTCAACAAGTGAAAAGATTAAAATTTTAAAAATAGATGATTACACGAGAGATAACTTACCGGTGACCATCCTGTAGATCTATTTGTTACTATTTATATATAACCATTTTTATAATTTTTGAAACGAGAACATTCTGTCTTTAAAAATTGCTCTTTATCAATTGGCACCTGTCAGATTATGTAATATTCACAGGTTGTTGGCCGCTATTGATAATCTTCGTCGTGCACTTAATATACTCAAAGGGTAAAGAAACGCAGGGTTACATTATTTGCAATATCTTGCGAACGCATTGTTCAAAAACAATGAAAATCGGTCGAGCAACTCTCTAGGTTACAGTGCATGTGGTCCTGTATGTTGCATTAATGAATTGCGTGACGATGTCTTCCGCGGAAAGCATGAAACGGGAAACTTGCGTGCACAGCAGTATTAAGCTGCTCGTCATACCATTAGGTAGTCTTCATAAAGACACATAATTTTCCGATATTTGATTAATTTCTGATAGCATTAAACAACGGCACGGCTGTCGGAAGTTCAGAGGGGTCAGGCCATTGCGATGATTATGCAAGGTCAAAGGCAAATAGAGGTTGCCAGACATTTCGGTGTCAACATTTGCACTATAGAACGTCTTGTTAAATGTCTTAAAGGAAACTGGGCGGGTTGCCGACAGACCTAGTTCTGCGCGTGACGTCACAATGTCAGGACAGTTTATTCGTCTCGCGCATTTGCGCAATCGGCACCTTACTGCCACTGAATCTGCCCTTCATACCATAGGTACTCATAACCATCATATCCATGAAAAAAACTGTAAGGAAATCATTGCAGGAAGTTAGTCTGCAGGCACGTCACCTGTTCGTAGGTCCGCACCTTACCGCTGCACGTCGCCAGCGTCGTGTGGCTTAGGTAGCGGCACATACCCCCAAAATATTCCCATTGAGACAGTGGAGGTGGATCTTGTTTACTAATGAGTCCCGGTTCACCCTGTTTCGAGGAGACGTTCAACGCCATGTATACCGACGTCGTGGAGAATGTTTTGCCGACTGCTGCGTAGTAGAGACGGATAGGTTTGGTGGTGGATCGGTTATGGTGTGGGGAGGAATCTCGCACGGAGTTCAATCATTGGTGGTGGCAGCGGGTAATTTAACTGCCGCTAGGTATGGAAATGAGATTCTCATGTTTTGCCATTATTGCAGCAACCAACTCCACATTCCAGCAGGATAATGATCAGTCCTATGTAGCGCGGATCTGTAGGGACTCTCTCACTAACAACAATATCCACCCACTGGACTAGCCGCCATACAGCCCTGACCTATTCCCTATTGAGCACTTGTGGGACCAGCTGGATAGACAGGTCCGACGACGCCAACCTACCCCTGTGACTCTGACCCAACTGAGAGCAGCCCTTTTGGAAGAATGGGCCAACATCCCAATGAGGAGGATAAACTCACTAATGAACTCTATGCCTAGGAGAATCAGGGCAATGGGGAGAGCGAGTGAGGGGACATACCCGGTATTGACTAGCCAGCTCCGATAATAATTTCATTTCGATTTCAGATTACAGAGTTCTCTTTCAATTCCCTTCATTTACTCCTAAATCACTAACCAGATAAAATCGTTGATTTTGCAGTTTGTTCTGTATGGATTAATCTTCATACGTACTTAAAAATATTGAACATTATACTGGAATTTTTGCCTAGAATCATCTTCAATGTTTACCCTGCGTTTCTTTATCCCGTGAGTATATATTTTTTCACCAAGGACATTCTCATATGTGTCTAAAGAGGACTTTTCTGAAGAGCCTGATATCTTGGTATTTCTATACATATTACTAGAGACAGTACGATTACTTCTCACAAAATAGTAATTGTCGGAAAGACTTTATGCCTAGGAAAACGGGAAAAACGTGTGTAACAATATTCCAATTTTAACCAAATTGTTAACTCAAATACAATGGTATTTCAACACGAAGAAGAGCCATTGTCATGTTTTGTGAAATTATAATAATATTATTCTTATTAATAATTGGCTTCTACTTTTTAAATGGCAATATAGGGTCCTATGTTTGAAATGTGCACTGTTGGCTCTCAATACCAGGGCTGTATTCAATTCGTCTACAAAACGTTATTGTAAACAGTCACACCTTGATAGGCTTATCTTCCTCAGGTCATTATATCTATTTCATAGAATATATGTCGAATAAAACCAAGTTTTATATCATTTTGCCTCTAATTTTGAATTTAATATGTTTGTGTTGTGTCCTGACCAGGTGTTGCATACGTTGGATATTTAACCTGTATTTGATTTACGTGTAGTAATGCTATTTGTTGGTGCTAGGTCCGTCAGTAAAGCAAATACCCCACGAATATTGGAAATCCGACACATTGACACCATGGATCCAGGCAAAG